TTTTACAGAAAATTACTCTAGAAAGTGGTTTGGGCTGAAACAGCAATGGTTAATATTTGTAGGCAGGAAAGAGTTTAAAATAAGGAATCTATGAGACGAACTAATGAAACGTTGACTTCAGGATAGGTTTGAGAGCAATTTCTGTCTTAGATTGTTTTAATAGTGTGTTTGTGCTTGTTGAGAGGGGGTTATTTTCCTCCTTCTAGCTTCCACATCAGACAGAGTGATGGATATTTGGGAAGAGTGGAAATCAACATGGGGGGACGGAGCCAAATAATAGTCATTTCAGGAGCTACAATGTAACAACTTCTGTAATATTGCCTATAGTACAAGAAGTGTGACTCGTCCATTTCCCTGGTGTAGCGGTTATCACTGTCACCTCCCACAAGAAAGATCCCTGGTTCAAAACCCAGATGGAAACACTTACGTGTTTTTACTATGGGACTTTAAAATTTACTACAGTAGAAATTCAGATTAGGCGCTTTTAAAATTTATTCTTGTTTTTTTAAAGCTATTCTGGAATTGTAGAAGTTATTGCAAAGTAATAGAAATACTAGCTTGATGTTTAGGAAATTTTAAATAGACAGTAAAGGAAGCTTTTAAGAAAAAACAAACAACTGTTGCGTTGGCCGGGAATCGAACCCGGGTCAACTGCTTGGAAGGCAGCTATGCTAACCACTATACCACCAACGCCTGGGCAACAAGAGGTTTCTTACAATGCCCTTAGTAAAAGTATTAGCAGTTTGGTTGGGTGATACCAAGTTACCAGGGGTGTCTCTTCCCAGTGTCCCTTCCTCGCACAGGAAGACGCCACCCGTGGCACGTCTCACCCCACTTACTGCGGGGGGCCCTGCTGACGCGTCTCCCCCAAGCGCCCCTGGCTTCTTGGTACTGGCCGGGCCGCGACCAATCCCAGGCCGCCGCCTGGGCCGCTCGACTTCCGGGTCAAAGGGGCCTGGGCTGCCGGGTACCCCGTGTCCGCCGGCGCCGCTGTGCCCCGCGCCCGCCACTTCCGGGGCCGCAGTCCCGGGCATGGAGCCGCGAGTTTGAGGTGCCGCCGGCCCCGGGACGCCCTGCCCAGCTCAGCCGCCTCCCTCGTGCCGGCCCCAAGTCCCGGTAAGCAGCACCCCCACGCCCCGTCCGGCCTCGGCCGCAACCCTGAACCCGCCATTGACCCGCCCCGCTTCATTCCCGACTCTGGACCCTACGTGGAACCCTCCGTCCCGGCCTCCGCGCTCCCCGGCCCTGCCGTTGACCTTACGCGCGGTTCCTCCAGTCCCCGCCTCCGTTTCCCCTTCGCCCCGCGTCTCTCCTCACTCCTCGCCCGCGCGTTCCCTCCGCTTGCCCGGCCAGTTCTCAATCTCTCCTCTGCCCAGCCTGACCCGACGTCCTCTCCCATCCCGTTGCTGCCCGGGCCACTGGGCTCTGACCCCTTTCGCGGGGTGGCCGCACTCATTAATGCCTTCTCTTCCCCGTCGGCTCTGGAGGTCCCCACCTTGTTCTCTCTTCATGCAGACACATGCTACTTATATGAGAGCAGAGGCCACCGCCCCGCCCTGCGTCCGGCCCCCACTCCTTCACCTCACAGCCCCACTGGGTCCATCCCGCTTCTCTCAGCCCCCTTCCCAGCCCTGTCCAGCCATCCACCCTCTTCCAACAGAGTCTTGACACTTCCCCATGTGTGCGGCAGAAGTGGCCCCTTTCCGTTTGAGCTCATCCCTGCCCCCGACTGTGAGGAAGTCACTTGCCTGAGCGGCAAGCATAAACCTTTACAGGAGCTGGGACTAAAAGCCCAGGAAGGGTGCAGTGTGGTCACCAGTCCCTTTAGTCCCTTGTTGGATCCTGGTCGAATTGGCGCCTGGTGGCAGGACTTTCCTGCGGGGTGTGGTCCAGGGCGTGCAAACAGCACTGCGGGGCTGTGAGGCATCATTAAGATCTACTGGGTACAGTGAATCAGGCTCAACCACTGGGGACTCGCCAATGGCAGGAGCGTGAGGGGGTTAGTCAGTCCTCTGTTAAGTCGCCGTGTTAATGACACATTTACTCTGTCAAGGTCTGTGAACCACATCTGCAGCTGAAATGGAGGCTCTCTGGACCCTTTAGAAGGTCAGTGGCGGGGAAAAAAAAAAGTCAGTGGCGATGGGTTTGGGTGGCTGGACTGCTGGGTATGGGTGAGTGGGATTCATTTGTCTGTTCCAGGATATAGAATCTGGGAGGCAGTGGTTTTCTACAGCCCTGATGTCACTTGCCCTGGGGGACAGTTAGCCTGGCCCCAGGCTAGTGGCTTCAGCTTTGCTCTGGTTGGAGACTTTTCTTTCTATCCAGGAGGAGAAAAAAAAAGTATTTGGTGGATGTGTGGCTACACATGCAGACACACACACCACGCCCACCCTCCACCCCCAACCCCCCATCTAATAGGGTGCCTGGCACTCAGTTCTGGAATGGGGTGGATTCTTGCTCTGAAAGGGGCTTGAGTCCAGTTCTCCTCTTGGAGATTTTAAGTAATTTGTTACTTTGTTATTAAGTACTTGTTATTTAAGTAACTTGATTTTAAATAATTTGTTCAGATGACAGTATTAGCTGCCCTGTGGTTTCTAAGTGTGTGATTTTACCCCTGTAATCTCATTCAGTCCTCACAGTAGTCTTAGGTGTTAGCCCTGCCAACAAACAGGGCATTGGTCCTGTTTTACAGCTGGGGAAATTGAGGCACAGGGATGTTAGGTGACTCCTTCAAGGTCACAGAACCCACGAGTAGTGGAATCAGGATTTGACCCCAAATCTATCTGACACCAGAGCCCACAGTTTTTTTCCCTGGTCTGCAGTGAAATCGGTGCTGCTTTCTAGTGACAGTTTGCTTCACTTCCAGGTGATTATCCTGGGACCAGGTGATGCTTTCTTTTTCTCTTTCAAATATTTACTTGACTGCGCTGGATCTTCACTGTGGCGTGCAGGATCTAGTTCCCTGACCAGGGATCGAACCTGGGATCCCTGTGTGGGGAGCACAGAGTCTTAGCCACTGGACCGCCAGGGAAATTCCACTGCTTTATTTTTCTTTAACCATCGGGGCACCTGTCTTGTCAAGACGCCAACGGTCCCTTTGACTTTAGACAGCATTCAAGTGAGGACAAGTACGTGTTCATTCTTCCTGAGATGTCTGTTGAGTGCATCCTGTCTGTCAGGGCCACAATGGGAAGAGACAGGTGAAGGTCTGTTTCCATGGAGCTGACATCCTGTTGGGAGTGGTCATCTACCCAGAGAGGGGTTCTCAGCCTCAGCTCTAGTGGTGTGAGGGGCCAGATTATTCTTTGCGGTGGGAGGGGTTTATCCTGCTTATTGTGGGGGCTTAGCAGCATCCCTGGTCTCCACCCACCAGATGCCAGCCACTTGCCTCCCAGTCCTGACAGCCAAAACTGTCCCCTGGGGACACTGGGCCTCGTTGAGAGGCGTCTGCGTACCAGGATTACCTGACCTGCAGAGGCCCCGGGAGGCTGCACACATCTAAGCACACAAACAGAGAAGGGGTGACTCACGGGCCCTGGGGGCCACCCTGGTATACCACCTAAGCCACCTAAACCACAGGTGATTTACTTTGGTGTCTAAGTGTTAGTCGCTCAGTCATGCCGGACTCTTTACGACCGCCTGGACTGCAGCCCACCAGTTGCCATTTCCTTCTCCAGGGGATCTTCCCAACCCAGGGATCGAACCCGGGTCTCCTGCACTGCAGGCGGGTTCTTTACTGACTGAGCTACAAGGGAAGCTCAGTGTCTAGTGTCACTTTGGTGTCTAGTGTGAGTCTAAGACTCTCACTCAGTTTTTGCCCCCCAGACAGTAAACACAGTTTCTCCCCCTTGGCACTTAGGACACTGAGACCAGATCATTCTTGGAGAGAGTGGGGGTGGGCTGTCCTGGACACCCTAGGGTGACAAGTAGCATCCTAGACCCCGCCCACTGGGTGTCGGTAACCGCCCCCCCGCATTAGAACAACAAAAAATATCAACAGGCATCACCAAAGATGCCCTGGGCAAGGGTGGAGGGCAGAAATTACTCTCACTGAGAACTGCTGTCTTAGAATGAGTGCCTGCAGAAATGCCCAGGCATTTGAGATGGGGCTGACAGAGTAGCACTCTGGACCTAGTGCCAGGAACAACCCCTGAAGAGCTGATACTGGGACCCGAAGGACAAGAGGGAACAGGTCTCACAAAAAGCAGGGCAGGGGTGTTCTAGGTAGAGGGGCTGGGGAGTGCAAAATCCTGGAGGTGGGCTTGTCTGTGTGTTTAGGGAGGTTAAGGCCAGTGTGGTTGGAGATGGTGGTCAAGATCTGGGAGGAGTGGGGTTGGGACAGCCATCGGGGAGCAACTGCAGTGGGGAATGTGGGTTTATTTGATTCCCCAAAAGTGCTGTGGGTGGTATCTCCCTAGTCATGTGAAACTCTCATCTTCTCAGGACTCTTAGCTGGGGAGAACTGCCCGCTTCCTGGCAAACACCTGGATAGGCCTTCAGATTTCTAACATCTGCCCCATGAGAGGGACTTCCTTGGTGGTGCAGTGATAAAGAATCCCCCTATATATGCAGGAGATACAAAGACACAGGTTTGATCCCTGGGTCGGGAAGATCCCCTGGAGAAGGAAAATGGCTGCCGACTCCAGTATTCTTACCTGAAAAATCCCATGGACAGAGGAGCCTGGCAGGCTATAGTCCATTGGGTGGCAAAGAGTCAGACACAACTGAGCACGAGAAGGCCCTTGGCATTGAGTGTTCCTTGCAGACCAGAGGGCTGCCTTTGGTTTTTCTGGGGTTTTTTTTTTGGTCACCCCACATGGCATGTGGGATCTTAGTTCCCTGACTGGGGATCAAACTTGAGCCCACTGTAGAGCCGAAAAAGTCCCGGGAGGGGTGCATTTGAAGGGGAGCGAGGCCTCACCCCTCCACACTGCCAGAGCTGTAGCCCTGCGGTCTCCCCCCTCACAGGTTCCCCCTCCTCGAGGTCAGTCAAGTGGTTAATGCGGAAGGTTAAGAAGCTGCGGCTGGACAACGTGAACACAGGACATTGGAGAAGGTAAGGGGCACTTGGGGATCCCTGGTTGGTGGCAACATTGCAGAGGTTCCCAAATTTCTAATGGAATCATAGGTCTGGAGGGAGGGTCTAAGACAAACTGGCTGTTCCCAGCTTTCTGATTTTCCCCACAGTGTGCTTCTGGCTCTTCTGTGAGGGCGGCAGTGTGGGCTGGCAGGGTTACTCAGCCTCAGCATTTAAAAAATATATTTTTATTTATTTATCTGACCATGCCGGGTCTTAGTTGTGGCCTTCAAACTCTTAGTTGCGGCATGAGGGATATAGTTCCCTGACCAAGGATCAACCCGGGCCCCCTCCATTGGGAATGTGGAAGTTCTAGCCTTGATATTTTCGCCACTGGGCTAGGTCCTTCAGTGCCTGCCCTGGCATTGCAGGAGTGGAGCATCCACCCCCACCCCCAGTCATGACAACCCCAAGTGTCCCCAGACATCACCCAGTGTCCTGGGGAGGGGACTGAGAACCACTGGCCAGATGGTCAGGATGTGGGCTTGGGGCTTCTGCCCTTTCTTGTGGGGAAGGTTGGGTGGGCCACTTGACCTCAGAACCTGCTTTCCAGTAACCTTTAGGGAAGAGCCCAGAACTCACTTCCCAAGGTTTCAGTGAGGATCAAATACAGTTATCCTCACAAGGCTCAGTCACTCGTCTGTTCTACGTGTGGGGCCTAGCACGAGAGGAAGGGACCACGAAAATTCCTCAGCTGAGCTGATCTCTATCAGTATCAGTTTTCTGATCTGCAGCTGCTGCTAAGTCACGTCAGTCATGTCCGACTCCTGTGCAACCCCATAGACAGCAGCCCACCAGGCTCCCCTGTCCCTGGGATTCTCCAGGCAAGAACACGAGTGGGTTGCCACTTCCTTCTCCAATGCATGAAAGTGAAAAGTGAAAGTGAAGTCGCTCAGTCGTGTCCGACTCCCAGCAACCCTGTGGACTGCAGCCCACCAGGTTCCTCTGTCCATGGGATTTTCCAGGCAAAAGTACTGGAGTGGGGTGCCATTGCCGCCTTTTCTGATCCGCAGGCTCACCTGCTTTCAATGAGTGCAAGGATCGGGATGGGGTGGGCAGGAAGGGAACAAGAGACGGTTCTGGAAGACAGGGCTGGCATTAAGTGCGTGATTTGTTTCCCAGATGTGACTCAGAGCTTGTGTGGTGCCCGCGCATTCGGGCGTCAGTTCCCAACGGGGCTGGAGTCTCCTCTCCCCTGTGCATCAGGTCTGGGGCGGGCATGGGCTGGGCTGCTCATGGACTGGTAGAAGCTGAAGGCCTGGGCAGTGCTGGGGGTGGCCCTCATAGAGCGGAGGATGGCCTGCTGTTCCGGGGGAGCCCCCAGCAGGAGGGGTGCTATGAGGTCCCTAGGCCGCTCCCAGGTGTTTCTGAGTGTGGTGGCTGTGGCCCCCACCTCCCTTCGCCTGGCCCCTCCTGCCTTCTTGCCTCCGCCTGCTTCCCTCATCACCTGGGACTCTGGCTGATACCCCAGGGGCAGGTGGTCCCAGCTTGAGAGGCTCTAGCTTAGTCACATCTCAGAAGCCGAGCGGGCCTTGACAGCGACCCTGCTGGCACGTCCCGACCTGGGTGCTGGTGGTAGGTGGTATGGGCTGTGGGCTGTCCTATCGATTGGCAGAAGGAAGGCGTAGGTGGGTCTGACCTAGGTGGCTTGGAATCCGCTTTCATTTCCCCAGCTGTGTAAACTCTTGACTCAAGAAGCTGAGCCCCAGCTGGCGCTGAATGAGGCAGGGCCGGCACAGGCTTGCTTCCCGAGGGCTGCATTCTATTCACCTGCTCCCCTCTCTGAGCCTCTCTTTCTGCCCCTGGGGAGGAGAGAGGCGAGCCGAGGGCCAGGGCCCAGCAGCAAGTGTCGGCCTGCCTGCGAGCTTGGGCTGCCCAGCCACATCTAGAAGGTTCCTAGAAGGTCCTCCCGATGTTTCATTTCGTTTCTCATCTCCTGGATCGTGTTTTTGCTTCCTGGTCTCTCTGCACTGATCGGAGGCAAGATCATTTTTATTTTCCTTTGCTGTGGACATAAGCCATGAGATTCCATGAGGGTTTTTGCCAGGCTTTCTGCCTCTGGGGTTCCCCATGGGAGCACCAGAGGCCAATTTGTTTTTCTGCTGTGATCGCAGCTGGAATTGTGGTGGCAGCGTGGTGGGGCGGGGGCGGGGGTGGGGGTGGGGCTTGGCGGTTAGGGGACTTGCCCTGCCTTGGTTTTCTGAGCTTGTTGCCAACAGTGCCGGCGCCGCGTGGGCTCTGTAGCACCCAGCTGGTCCTGGCCCGGCCCCTTCCCAGCCCCGCCTGCGGCCCCTGCTGCCCTCAAGGTGAACCGCAGCTCTGTGGCAGGCCAGGACAGGCCATGGGTGCCCCTCAGCAAGGGTGCCATCCTGCCAGGGTTTGCTTTATTTGACCCGAGGGCCCCAAAGGCTCTGATGGTCTGTGGTCCATGTCTTCAGAGCCAGCGTGGGGGCAGCTGAAGTGTTTGCGGTGGCAGGCCATGTCAGTTTGTTGCCCCTCCCCCAGCTCAGCTGGGTCAGAAAGGACCAAGCAGGGGCCCAGTTGGAAAGAGGAGTCTGAAGATCAGCCTACAGTGGGTGGTCAGCAGCCATGGGTGCCTCACCGTGTCTCTTTCTCCTGTCGCCTCTCACAGCGGGCAGGGATCTTGCACTAGTAAGGGGCAAAGCCTTCTGGAAGTCATAAGGCCCCCACGTGAAGGTGGAGCCCTAGCTCTATCCACGACTTCTTGAAAGCCAGATCCTCCTAAAAGGGAACATGTACATGTGCCCGCAGAGGCATGAATCCCACAGGATGAGGTATCCAGGAGTCTAAGCAAGACCTTTGGCTCTCTGGTACCCTCACAGGAAATCCAGGCTGGCCTGCCCATGTTGACTGGCCTCACCAGATGACCCTGGCTCTTCTAGAATCAGGTCACCGAGGCTGTGTTTAGATTTCCATAAAATAAATATTTGCCTGGCCAGTCCAGCTCAGTCAAGAAGCCGCTAGTGCGGGGGGTGGGGAGGGTATTACACAGCAGCAACCTTCCCTGGAGTGGGCGGATAGAATGGAGTGGCCTCTGGGGAAGGGGGTGCCTGTCCATCCTCTCACCTGAGGCTCTCTGATGACCAGGAGATGTCTGCCTGGCTCTCAGCCCTTCTGGTGAGACGGGACAGCTTCCCCTGCTGGCTGGTGAGCTGATAGCATGGGCCACGAGATTTGCCCACCTGCCCCTTATTCTCAGTTCTTGGGGAATGAGAGAGTGTCTCCCGGCAGAGATTATCACCCTGTGGCTCTCCAAGGAACTCTTCCTGTGCGCCAGGGGCCGTGTGAGGTTCCAGGGACACTGCCGTGGCCAGGACAGACACAGTGTGGGGTGGGGGGGGCGGGTGGTCCTGGGCAGGAACAAGCAGGAGATCCGTGAACAGTCACCATGACGAAACGCACTGAGGGTGGAGCAGCCAGGGGGCAAGTGAAAGATGGATGGACAGTTTTGGTCCAGATGGCCATCCACAGCCCTGACAGACACTTACACTGAGATCTGATTAGAAGCTAGTCCAGTATAGAGTGGGGCAGAGGTGTTCCAGGCAGAAGGCCAGCACAGACAAAGGCTCTGGGGTGGGAAGGAGCCTGGCTTGTTTTTGAAGCTGAGAGAAGGCCTAGATAGATGAAGGGGGGTGAGGTTTGAAGGCCTGGCAGAGGTCAGAGGGCAAAAACCAGCAAAGGCCATGTGAGTGCTTGGTTTTATCCCAGCTGAGTGTGGGAAACCAAGGAAGGGTTTTAAGTCGCAGGATCAGATTTGCAACATGTACGAGGTTGAGCTGGGAGACAGTGGCAGTGTTTCAGCCAGGAGGTGCTGGTGGTGGGGGTCTGCGGGTTCGTGGCTAGAAAGAAGTGGAAGAATTTGCGGCATCCTCAGGGGGCGAGGCAGGGTGCCCAGAGGTGGGACCTGACCAGGGGAGTCGGGGGTAGGGGGCAGCTTGTGAGCGGAATTTGGGTGCCACCCTGCTTCTCATTGTCTTCCCGCCTGTCTTTCCCTCCCTCCCCCACCCTCCTCGTAGCTTCTCGCTGAATTCCCAGGGGGCAGAGAGGATGGCCACCGGGGTGCCGACGTCTGAGCGGGGCGATGCGGCGGAGACGGAGGACCCAGCGTCACGCTTCCAGGTGCAGAAGCACTCGTGGGAGGGGCTCCGCAGCATCATCCACGGTAGCCGCAAGAACTCGGGCCTCGTGGTCAACAAGGCGCCGCACGACTTCCAGTTTGTGCAGAAGACTGACGAGTCAGGCCCCCACTCCCACCGCCTCTACTACCTGGGTAAGGCCCCTGGGCTCCCCGCCCCCGCGCCACGTTTCCGGGCCAGCTGTTACAACGTCCTCTCATCCCCAGAGATCAGTGAGTCAGAAGGTCCAGACAGAGGGCTGGGCCTGGGGCAAGCTGTTCCTCCAATGATGTGGTCCCACCCACAGGTGACGGCTGTGAACAGTGACAGCCTGGGGCAAGGGTCCCCCAGGGCCTCAGCTGTGTGGTGGCCAGCACAGAGGGCAGTCCTGCCCCATCCATGTAGTAGCAGCTCCAGGTTTGGGCCTGGTAGGTGGGCACAAGGCCCTGAGATTGTTTCCAGTGCCTGTCAGCTAGGCCCGCCCCCTGAGTCACTTCCCAGCAGCCTGGGCTGGGCCGGGGTGGCTGGTGAGCAACGTGACTCCCCACGGTTTGAGCAGAAGGTCACTCCCGTGGAGGCTGCCGGCTCGTGGTGTGTTGAGAAGGACCTTGAGGCTCACAGAGAGGTGGCACAATTGCATCACCATGGGCAGGTGGTTGGGGGTTTGCTCTCCCAGCCCTGGGTTCCTGGATAAGCATGTCAGTTGCTGCTCACTTCCACCCCCTGGGGTGTGCCTCGATGCAGGGCTTCCTACGTCTTCAGCAGTTATTTCTGCGCTTGTGTTCCCTGCTGGCCTTTGGGGGCACAGTGTGGCCTCATGCACACCTGTGGGCTCGACAGCTGGGCCCCAGCCTGGCTCCTAGGAGGTGGATGACAGATACCTGTTGAACAAATGAATATTGCCTGAGGGTCTTCCAGGCCAAGAAGGAACAGCACCAGTCATGTTCGTTTGGACACAGCCTGACCCGTGATTGTTGCTCCGAGGCAGGTTTTTAACCCCAGCTCTGAACCTTCGGGGCTGGGTCACCCTCCACATAACCCTCAGCCCGACCCCGGTCAGCCCTCAGTCAGTATTGGAATGAGTGATGGAGCGAACATACAAGTGAAGGTCATCCCCCCACCCCATGCTGCCCTCACGCCAAGGCCCGTGACAGTGACTGCAGGGGCTGCCGGATGCTCTCCCTCCTTGCAGAGGCCCACGTGGAGACCAGATGGCAGTTTGGCAGGCGGAGTCAGAGAGAGGAATGGTCTAGAAGGGTCGGTGCGCGGCAGCCGGCTGTTTTTAGAAATCCAGTTGTGCTGGTGTGCGGCCACACCCGTGGGTGTACAGACCATATCGGGCGTCTTTCAGGCGTAACTGGGACAGAGGTTATGTGGGCTGCACAGCCAAAAATACTTACTGTCTCTGGCCCCTGTGGAAAAAAGTTTGCCAGCTCTAGCCTAGGAGAGATTAGGGCGGGCTTCAGGTTTCATTTACCCCGGGGAGAGGAAAAAGAGAGGGCTGAACGCGGCCCAGACTCTGTGACTGTGGCAAGCTACAGCCTCTCTTTTTCTTTTTCCTGTGGTTCTGTGTTCCCCAGTCCCTCCCCTGTCCTGCATGCAGTCTCACTTGGGTCCCTCGCTCGCTCAAGTTCAAGTTGCCCTTCCAGGTCAAGGTACTTGTAAGAGTGTCCCACGACAGCTGCTGACACTAGTGACCACTGACCTGGTGGTTTAAAATGACAGAAGTGTATTTTGTCTCAGTGCTGGAGGCCAGAAGTCTGAAAACAGTTTCTCGGCCAAGAGCTGGGTGTCTGCAGGGCTAGTCATCTTCCTGAGGCTCAAGGGGTGGGGGGGATATGTTCTTTGCTGCTTCTGGCTCTTGGCAGCCGTCGGCATTTCTCGGCTTGTGGCTACATTACTACAGTTTTTGCCTCCCTGGTCACATTGCCTTCTCTCCTATGTGTCTGAAATCTCCCTGCCTCCCTCTTATCAGGCTCATTAGGGCCCCCTGCATAATCCAGCCTGATCTCCCCAGCTCTTTACCATAATCCTAATGGTAAAGGCCCTCTTGCCAGGCAGGTACCATGCTCACCAGCTCCTGGAGTTAGGATCTGGGCGTCTTTGGGAGCCATCATTAAGCCAGCCACAGAGCTGCTGAAAGGGCAGAAACGCTCTGAGTTACTCTGAGCCTCATAGTAAAGACGTGGGTGTGTCAGGGACCTCTTCCAGCCCGCCCCGTGCCTCCCGACACTGAAAAGCCTGAGCTAAATGGAGTCCAGGCATCCGCTTCATGTGTTTCTCTCTCCGGCTCCACCCTCACTTCCCACCTGCCTTCTGCTACACTCCCAGGGTCACACGTCTGGTTCCGGCCACCAGCAGAAACGGACCACCTTTCTCTGAATAGGGCTCGATGTAGGTCAGATGTCCGCTCCTCTTGTCGGCCTCGGCCTGTGCGTGGGTCTGGGCCTGGGGTCTGCAGAAGGTTCTGAGAGCCCACCCCAGAGGTCTGGGCCAGCTTCAGACAAGGGCTCTGGAGCCACTGAGACCCCGAAACGTGCCTAGAACAGCCCAGAACCATCCTGCTTCTTTTGGGCTAGATCACCCTTGAGCTGATCCAGTCTGTATCACTCAGCACCCTGGGGTGCCCTTGACCTCACATCATGTCCAGGTTCCTGGATCAGGTCTCCCCCTGGCTCCCATGCATTTATAGCTCAGTACTGGGGGAGTGCTGGTAGTAAGACACTTTTATGGATTGAACAGAACGGACCTCCCAGGTTGATGCCCAGCCTGCTCTGGTGCCCTGAGTATGTGGCCTGTCCCCCTGTTCCTCCGGGACCCCTGCCTCCCTGGCGGGCCCCATCACACCCCTTTGGGAAGTCTCTCTTGGAGCCCAATGCATGTGGGACAGAGCAGAGAAGGGAATGTGCCTGCTGCTGTCCCGGAAGACGGGCTCCAGTTTCAGGGCTCCATTGCTCCTAGTGGGTCGGCTCTTCCCTTCTGCAAGTGGGTGTCACATGTCCAGCGGAGGAGGGCATGGGGCCCCAGATGGCACTGGGAGTCCCTTCAGGCGTAAGGGAGATCTCTCGTGTTCTGGGTCCAGTCCTGGGCCACCTGACGTGCTGGGGGGGCTCTGGGATGGGGCGCTGAGATGGTGGAGCCGGTACGAGAAGCGACAGCAGAAGTCAGGGGCCATGCTCAGCCGTCCCAGACCCTTACTGTGCACACAGATACCCACCAGCACCAGGGCTTGGCAGCTGCTTCAGGGAATATGCCAGAACGCGTATCCCTTTTCATGTCCATGCTTATTAGTCAGTGGGGAGGGGAGGTGTCTCTGGTGTTCTTTGGTAGGACTGCACCACCAACTTCCTGTCTGGAAGGCTCGGGCTCCCAGAGAGTCTGTGGACCGGGGCTGTTCAGAGCCCACGGCGCTTGGTTGAGAATGGCCACCTGCCCCCTCGCAGCTATCCACACTGGGCCTTGTTTGTTGTTTAATTGTGAAATAATTCACGTCCTATCAAATCCCTTCTCTTAAAGGCAGACGGCACGGTGGTTTTGGGTACAGTCACAGGGTTGTGCAGCCATCCTCACTGTCTAGTTCCAGAACATTCCATCACCCAAGGCAATCCCCATCCCCGTGAGCAGTCACTCCCCATCCCAGCCCCTAGCCCCGGCAACCACTGACTTACTTCCTGTCTCTGGACTTGCCTGTTCTGGACGTTTTAGAAGAAAGGAGTCACCCACCACATGATTCCCATCCTCACTTGTCTTGTGAACTTGGGAAGAAAGATGGCCCCATGGGTGGCCTGGGTGGGCGGTGTCAAGTCCATGCCTCTAGCTGGGAGTGAGTAACTGCAGCAGCTTAGAGCAGCGGTCCCCAATGTTTTTGGCACCAGGGACCAGTTTCATGGAAGACAGTTTTTCTGCCGACTAGAGGTGGGATGGTTTCAGGAAGATTCTCATGAGGAGCTTGTAACCTGGTTTCTTCTTGTGTGCAGTTCATGGTAGGATTTGCTCCTGAGAGAGTAATGCCACTCATCTGACAGGGGGCAGGGCCTAGGTGGTAACACAGGCAAAAGGAGCGACTGTAAACAGACGAAGTTTTGCTCACTAGCGCTCCCCTCCTGATGTGAGGCCTGGTTCCAAACGGGACTAGGGACCCCTGGCTTAAAGTCCTTAGATGTTGAATTGTGAACACTTCTCACTTGTACATCCAAGTTAGCTTTGCATTTTCACTTCTTTTCCAACTATACTTCATGAACAAACTGTCACGAGTTGAAAATGCAAGTCGCTTGCTGTATTGAGAAGCTACCTGTAAGAGTTCCTGCGGTGGGATGGGTATTACTTGTGAAGCTCTGTTTAGCTCTAGAGGCATCAAACTTGGGGCCCTCAGCCTCCAGTCTTAGAAGTGAGGGTGCATATGAGGACAGGAGACCAGTACCAAACCCAGTCTTCCTCCTGGAGGAGTTTGGGATTGAAAGGGGTCAAAGAGAGGTGCCCACTCTGTGTGATCTGCTGTCGGTCATGGTGCACTCCTGGGCCACAGCCTGCTTCCAGGGAGCCCTGCCCCAGTCCCCCAGCTTGGTACCTGGAGAGCTTGGACCCCCACACTCCCCGAGAGAAGCATCTTGTTCCCACTGCTAACATTCTTAACAGCCATCATGCCATTGTCTATCAAGGCAAAGACACTTCGGGTTGGAAGATGTGTCATTGCCACATTTGCTGCTGTCTGTGCTGAGCACTCTGTATTTCTTCCCTCACTCACCCACATGGAGTTCTTCCCAGGCAGCCACTCTGCTCTACAGATCAGTGGCTCTCAGTCAGGTGCTCCTGCCCCAGGAGATGATGCTCAGTTTTGTCTGGGGACATCCTGTGGTTATCACACTGATGGGGCTCTTGGCATCCAGCAGGTAGGGCCAAGGAGGCTGCTTCACACCCTTCTGTGCCTAGGATGGCCCTGCAGAAGCTGACTAACCTGGTGTCAGCACTGCAGAGGGGGAGGGGCTGGGCTTGAATACACTTCTCCCTGTCATTCTGGAGCTTTGCCCTTCCTCTGATCCAAGACTAATTCCTGGCCTTTGCAAGAGTCCATAGTATAGCAGGATACACGACCTGAGCCCAACCTGTGAGGAGTCGGGGATCACTGACCCCCCATTTTTTGTCCTCTTGGGTGCTTTTTGTTCAGTAACTGAGGCTGACATATTTGGCTCAAACATTTCAGGTAGAAGAGCCTGCTGCTCCTGCTGGCCGGTGTAAATTCTATCTATGGATTCTCTGGGGAGGGATGTGTGGCCAAGGGGCTGGAGAAGCAGGTGGAGCCAGCCAGGCCCAGTCCCCAGGAGCCGTGAGGAGTCTGGGTCCTAGGCCCGTCCCACCTGAGGCTCTCCTCTAGCGCTGGGCTAGGCTAGAGTTGCCAAAGGCAGCCACTCTGCTTTTCTCTCCCCTACAAGGGATGCCTTACGGCAGCCGAGAAAACTCCCTCCTCTACTCCGAGATCCCCAGGAAGGTCCGCAAGGAGGCGCTGCTGCTCCTGTCGTGGAAGCAGATGCTGGATCACTTCCAGGTGAGCCCCGTGATTGAGTCTGGCCCTCCCCGTGGCTGAGGCGGGCAGGTGCACTTGGCCTCTGAGGGGTCCCAGCCTTCCCCCCCAGGAGGAGTGCCCGGCCCTGGACACCTGCCGTATGCCTGCCCTCCCCTTCCCCCGGGGCACCCGAACCACAGCAGAGGCTTGTGATGACAGCGCCGGCTGGAAGCACCTCTCCCTTTAAAAGCCTCATCAAAAGCGTGAGAGTAACTTGGGCTTGAGGCCCTTTTATAGACGTTTAGCTAATGATCCATGTGGTCCAAGTCACCTTGCTTCCAAAGAGGATGTGGCTGGTGAGCAGGGAGAGTGCCATTTGTACTGGCTTACATTGACTGCTTTTGGATCATAAATATATGACAGTACTCCAGGGAGAGGACCCATGCAGCCCTCTTCCCTTTGCTTGTTGCCTGTCCTGGACAGAAGTTGCCAAGCCCACCAACTCATATTTGCATGGCTTTCTTTGCAGTGGGGGAGGGGTTGTGTGTGTGCTCATTTTGTTTTGGATTCTGCTCTGTAAAAACACATTTCTGGGATCTCCCTTCTGCGGTCTAGTGGTTAGGACTCCACGCTTCCACTGCAGGGGGCAAAGGGTCGATATCTAGTTGGGGAACTAAGATCCTGCACACCTCGTAGCGCGGCCAGAGAAAAAGAAATTTAAAAAATAAAAATGTGTTTCTTCCTTTTAATGTTTCTCTGAATTCCTATGTGGTGTTCAGAATTCTCCATGGGGCAGCTGCATTGGTGTCCCCCATAGTGCACCTGCTCACCCGCCCGCTGCCCTCCCACCCCAGGTCAGGCATCTGGGTGGTCCTGAATCTGCCCGTCGCTTCCCCTGCACAGAGAGTGGGAACATGTGATGGTGGGTGGAATGAGCTCAAATATTCTCACAGGAAGGGCCTGTGATCCTGGACAGAGGGTGGGGGTCTGTAGGGTGGCACTAGTTGGGGGCCTGGCCCTATCTGTTTGGGAGAGAGTTGGTGGGGAAAGGGGGCCGGGGCCTCGGCTGCTGACACTGATGTCCCCCTTGTGTCCTCAGGCCACGCCGCACCACGGGGTCTACTCCCGGGAGGAGGAACTGCTGCGGGAGCGGAAACGCCTGGGCGTCTTCGGCATCACCTCCTACGACTTCCACAGCGAGAGCGGCCTCTTCCTTTTCCAGGCCAGCAACAGCCTCTTCCACTGCCGGGATGGCGGCAAGAATGGCTTCATGGTGAGCCGTGCTTACTGGTGGGGAGGGTGTTGGGGGGGACGGTGGCAGGAATGGCTTCATGGTGAGCTGCACTCGCTGGTGGGGAGGGCGAGGGAATGGCTGGTGCCTCCTGCCCCACTGAGCCAGGCCTCTGTCTGCAGGTGTCCCCCATGAAGCCCCTGGAGATCAAGACCCAGTGTTCAGGGCCACGGATGGACCCTAAGATCTGTCCTGCCGACCCTGCCTTCTTCTCCTTTATCAACAACAGCGACTTGTGGGTGGCCAACATCGAGACGGGCGAGGAGCAGAGGCTGACCTTCTGCCACAAGGGTGAGGCCGGGCACGGGGTGAGGAGGGGGTGGACGTGGAGGCGACGGAACACCACCACCACTACCAACCAGCCCCTTCCCTGTGCCCCTGTGTGGAGGGTGGGGTGGATGGGAACCCGCTCTTCCTTGTGGTCAGTCCCCTCAGCCACCACTCCAGCTTCTGCTGGAGATCCTTGCCCCACCATGCTCCCCCACCAGACCACCAGCACCTGCTCAGAGCCTGGTCTCCCGGCCACCACAACTCCCCACCCCACCCCTACAGTAATCCCACAGAGTCCTGCTGCCTGGCTTTCCTCTGTGTGAATCACCCATGCCATGGGGTCCTGGCCTGCCTGCTAGATGCTGCCCATCTCAGCCTTCGTACCCCTGCCCTTCTGTCCTCCTCCATGCTTCCAGCCCAGAGCTCACCAGACCTGGGCTTGCCTCAGGCCCCTGCCTGCCCAGGGTGATGTCACCCCTGTGCAGAAGCCGGTGGAAATCCGAGGGCTGTGGCTGCTCCCACCTACCATCCTGCCCCAGGGCCTGGTGCCCTCTCAATAAGCCTGAGCCGCTCAGCGGGGGTGACTGGGACACTGGCCCTGCGCTGAGATGTTGTTAGCTGTCACAGCAGTGCAAGGATGTTCTGGCATGGAGTGGGTGGGGTGGCGATACTGCTCTATACCCCATGGCGCCCAGTACAGCCCCCAGGATGGCCCCCAACATCAGCAGTGCCAGGAGAGCAGCCCTCCTCTGAACCAGACCCTCATCTCCCACCTGGCTTTGTCCCCTCCAGGCTTGTCCAGTGTCCTCGATGACCCCAAGTCTGCGGGTGTGGCCACCTTTGTCATCCAGGAGGAATTTGACCGTTTCACTGGCTACTGGTGGTGCCCCACAGCCTCTTGGGAGGGTAAGTGCCTCTCTGGTTTAAAAACATTTGTGCAAGGGACTTCCCTGGTGATCCAGGGGTTGAGACTCTGTGCTTCCACTGCAGGGGGTGTGGGTTTGATCCCTGGCTGGGGAACTAAGATCCCTTATGCTGCAAGGTGCTGCAAAAAATAAATAAACACACTTCTACAAATGCTCTTCTATTAACAGAAGCACAGTATACATGCTAGTCTACCCTTCACGCTTTTCATTTAATATTAGCCTTGGCCAGCTTGCTGTTGACACTCAGGCCGCTGTTACAGAATACCACAGCCAGGGCAGCTTATAAACAACGGATATTTATTTCTCACTGTTGCGGGGACTGGGAGTCCACGACCAAGGCAGATTCGTTGTCTGGTGAGGGACTTTGCCTGGCTCCCGGGTGCCGTCTTATCTTCCTGTCCTCATGTGCTGAAGGGGTAGGGAGTTTTCTGTGGTCTCCTTTTTGTAAGGGTACTGATCCCCTTCATGAGGGCTCCACCCTCATGGCCGGATCACGTCCCGAAGGCCCTACCTCCCAATACATCACACTGAGTAGTGGGGAGCTAGGACCTACCATTTGAATTCTGGGGGGATGCACACATTTTGTCCGTTGTAATCAGAACACAGAGAATCGGTACTCTACCTGTGGATGTCTTGAGTGTCTAGAGAGTAGCCCCACTAGCTGAAACTTGAGAAAGCCCACTTGCAGCAGTAAAGACCCATCACAGCTATAAATTAATTTAAAATAAAAAGAGGAAAGAAAAGAAAATCCCGCCTTAGAGACATTCCCAGCTGGAAGAGAGGTGAGTTGAAGCTACATGCACCTGGAAGTTTGATGGGTTTTGCCAGCGAGTTAGGAAGAAGCCGGAGCAGTGGGCCCTTTTGTATCTGTGTTTCTTCGTGCTGCCTAAGGCCAGGATGTGTCACCTCTTCCTTGTTCAGCAGAGTACAGTCTATCTTCTGAGTGAGGGAACAGTCATTTCCAGAGCCTGTGAGTAGCGTCAGACCCTCCACAACATAAGCAGAACTGGCCCAGGCCTCCGCTGCCCAGAGTCCCTCTGACCTAAGTGCCAGTGGGCATGGGGCCACAAAACCCAGGGTCCTGGGGACCAGGCATTGGTGTCCACCGCCGTAGCCATGCACCACCCCATCGGCCATCCACTCCCACCTTTACATCAGCTCACCTTTTCCTTAAGTTGATTTGTAAAGAAAGCTTCATGGTTCAACCATGAATACAAGGTCGGCCTGAAAATTGTGCAGTGGGGAGAAACCAGTGCTGTACACTCTAGCCAGCACCCAGGTAGAGGTTGAATTGTCAGGGTTGAGTAGGCTGCTGGCACTCCCGAGACCTGGCGGGGATCGGCATGTTTCTGGGGAGGACACTGTCCACACTCCTCCGACTGGCCAGTGATTTTCACCATCGCAACACCTGGTGTGCCTAAGGCCCACCAGGGAGAAGGGCTCCAGGTCAGAAGTCGGGGTCGGGTCTGGTCACTCTGCTCATGACTCTGCCTACCAGAAGCAGGTGACTGTCCCACCCTTCAACTTCATGGTTTACAAAATGAGGTCTCCTCCCCTTATCCCTGTGGGCATGGAGGTGGGCTTCTTCTCTCTGGGGGGCTGTGGTCTCCTGAGCTTTCATGACAACCACAGATGTCTCCAGACATGGTATAGGTCCCTTGGGGACACAGATTGACCCCTGCTGTCATCCACTGGCCTTGATGACATCAGGGTTCTTACTCTGCTATTCTCAGCAGCTCAGAACCCCTCAGATAGAGCCCCCCGCATGCAGAAGCCCAGGGGCACTCACTCCACTTGCTGTAACCAGCACCCTACAGAGCAGGTGTGGAGATCTGCAGGCCAAGTGGGGCTTAACCACATTTGACGGATGTTGTTGGTCCACCCTAGCGAGTTAGATGAGGGTATAAGATGCAGAGGGGACCCTTCTCAGCAGCTGAGAAAGCAATGGCTGTGGGCTCCGTCCCCTTGACCTTGGCACTGGCAGCCCCCATGCCGCTTGCTAAGCCAGCAGCTCCTGACTGCTCGCTTCCTTCTTGTGACAATGTTCATGGCACCCTTTCTTGCCCCAGTCCTGAGTGCTGGTCTGCTTGGGTGGGTGTGACCAAGTCCCACAGATGGGGCAGCTTGGACATCACAGCTTGGAGACTGGATGTCCTAGGTGGAGGCATTGGCAACTTTGGGTGTCTGGGCCTCACCGTGGGGGAGCAGAGTCCTGTGTGAGCAGGAGTGGGGGACAGCAGGGGAATGCCTGGCACCCTCAGCAGGTACCACGCTCCTTCCCAGGGTCAGAAGGCTGCAAGACACTGCGGATCCTGTACGAGGAAGTGGATGAGTCTGAAGTGGAGATCATCCATGTGCCCTCCCCTGCGCTGGAGGAAAGGAAGACGGACTCCTACCGGTACCCCCGGACAGGTGAGGGCCTGGGATAGGTCAGGGCCCAGGACAGGTCAGGGCAGCTCGGAGATGTCTGAAGCCTTGTGGAACATGGTAAGGCAGCAACCAGGATGGGCCCACAGGACCCAGGCAGGGATAAACCCAGAGAAGCAGGCTGGGCTCGGGAACAACAGCCGGGCCAGCGCCACCATCAGTGGTGACTGGCGTCCTGCCTGGGGGCCCAGGAGACAATAGGAGCCCTGGGGAGGTAATGGAGGGTGTGGCCCCTCTGACGGCCCGTCGGACTGTCACTGCCTTGTGAGAGTCAGAGTTTGCCCCGTGTCTCAAGAGAAGCCAGAAATCCAGACTCACCTACGAAATCTACCAATTTATTTTTTTTTAATGTGGACCATTTTTAAAGTTTTTATTGAATTTTTTTATAACATTGCTTCTGTTTTATATTTCAGTTTTTGGCCAAGAGGCTTGTGGGATCTTAGCCCCCCGACCAGGGATTGAACCTGCACCCCCTGCATTGGAAGCTCCGAGTCTTAACCACTGAACCACCAAGTCCCAGAAATCGACCAGTTCTTAAACATGTCTCAAATTATTTAAAAATACTTTTAGCAGGACTTCACTGACACCCAGTGGTTAAGACTTTGCTTTTTAATGCGAGGGTTGCAGGTTCGATCCCTGGTTGGAGAGCTAAGATCCCACATGCCACGCTAGGCACAATCACACAATTAAAAAAAAAAAATGAACTCGGTGAGCCACACAAGATACTCATGCAGGCCAGGTTTAGCATCGTCGGGGCCCCTGTGGAAGCCTCTGAGAGACTTGTCCCTGCCGACTGTGGGCCGTGCTAGGCAGAGCCTTCCTGGGGAAACTTCCAGGCCCTGGTATGAATGGGGAGGTCAGTCTTTCCCTTCCATTGCTGGAAAGGTGAGGAAGCAGAGCTCAAAGATATCACCTGCCAGGGTGCTAGAGCCATGAGGCCAGAGCTGAGACGTGTCATAGGAACTGAATCCCACCCTGGAGAGCCTGTCTCGGCCGCCCCAGCCTATAGGCTGCCTGCCTCCTGACTGCTGAGCACCAGCTGTCGCCAGACATGGGCCCTGTTTCTGCTTCATGGGTGCTTTCATTAGGGGCATGTGCCGTCTTTACACCCAGCTTTCAAGGTCTCCCGAGGCAGGGAGATGTCTTCCTCCTGTCTTGTGTTCCCCCGTGATCCCCAACCAGCCCAGGTCTGATCTCTGTTCTTACACAGCAAAGATGTAGCCACGTCCCCATTGGGACCATGGTCCAGGCTCACAGTCAGTCCTGCCTGGCGGCCTTTGTTCCCCAGGCCAGAGAGGGTGACACACCCACAGAGGGACCTTTGGACAGTTGGTGCCTTCCTCCCCTCCCCCCATGTCAGCTGGGTCATAGCCCGTGAGCATCACCTGCATCCCCCGCTGCCAGCCGCTGCCCCAACTCCGGCTGTCAGCCCTCTTGGTCCACCTGCCAGGTCCACCTCGCTTTCATTTCTGCAGGCAGCAAGAACCCCAAGATCGCCTTGAAACTGGCTGAGTTCCAGACCGACAGTCAGGGCAAGGTAAGTGTGGCCGGGGTGCCTGGAAGAAGTGTCCAGATGAGGAGGGGAGGCCGGGGTCTGAGCTGGGAGATCAGGTGGCCCCTCACCCCCCACTCCAGGTCAGGTGCTTCTCTGGCCAAGTGAACTCAAAAGAGGCTCCACCTGGAGCCTCGGCTTCCAGGCCGCACCCTTCCACCCATCACCCTGAACCTGGACTTAGACAGGGAGTGGCCCTGAGGTGCGGACAGGGGACCCCTGTGAGTGAGCTTCGAGTGGAGGCCCTGCAGGGGTTGGGCTGCCCAGAAAGGTGGTGGCTTGCAGAGCTTCTGGAACAGAGTCCAGGGAGCGGGGGTGCAGTCACCTGGGTGCAGACCTGACCTTAGACCAAGGGTACCCCCGCCCCCGCCTCTGGGCAGTTCCTCATCCGTCACCTCAGCAGACGCATCAGTGTTCTGGGATCCTTCTCTCCGTCACCTAGTCAGCATCATGGATGGGGGTCATCATCACCCAGGGAGTCACTCTTCAGGATCCATAGCCAGGAGGGCAGAGGAGGCTGTGGGGAGAAGGGTGGGAGGTGGGGATACCCAACTCCACGTGAGGATATTGGGTGGTGCCCCTGATGGCAGAGATCAGAGCAGCCTGGTAAGCTGGGAAGCCCCTTTGTATTTTAGCCAGAACGGCTTCTTGTGTAATGTTTCAGAAAAATGCCTGAGATAAACTACAATTATTTTCACGATCTAGGGGTTGGTTTTGGTTTGGGCACAAGTAGGACCTAACCAAACCCCTTCTCCACTCCTGACCGGAATGTTCTGGTGGATCCTCCAGGGACCTGTGCTAAGAGGCTTTGCCGAGCCCCACCAGCTGTTGTAAATGGTTCCAGGCCCTCCCTCAGACGAGCAGGGTCCTAAGATGGCTGGGAGGTTTTGCCCACTAACCCATAGCTGGGGGATGCAGAGGTTGGGGGCAGGCCTGGGTGTGGGATATGCTGGGCCCTGCTGGCCTCTCTCCCATCCACCCTCCTGAGGAGATGCCCTGCTGGCCCTGTGTCACCTTCAGGAAGCCACAGGGACCAGAGGCTTGTCTTGCCCAAGGCCACCTGGCTCTTCAGCAACAGCCATGCCAGAACCCTTGGTTTCCAGTCAACAGGCTGTCATAGCAAAGACCCCTGGGAGGCTTCAGTCCCCAAAGTCTGTCGTTTGTTCTGGAGGCTGAAGGTCTGAAACCAAAGTGTTGACAGGGCGGCTTCCTCCAGATACCTGGTAAAAGACCTGTCCCTGGCTATCCGAGGCCTGGAGATGCCACCTTCTCCCTGCATTGTGTCGCAAGTTGGAATGCGTGGCGCCTGTGTACACATCTCCCCCTTTTATAAGGATACTCATCCTGTGGGTTTGGGCCCCCACACCCCAGTCTGACCTCATCTTAACTGATTACATCTGTAACTGCCCTGTTTCCAAGTCAGGCCCGCTCTGTGGGTCCCAGGAGTTAGGGCTTCAGTGTGTGGCTCTGGGGAGTTACAGTGCCTCACGGCAGTGGCAGCACATAGCCAGGCTGGATGGTAACCCACTTCTGTCTGTTCCCGTTTAGATTGTGTCAGCGCAGGAGAAGGAGCTGGTGCAGCCATTCAGCTTGCTCTTCCCAAAGGTCGAGTACCTCGCCAGGGCTGGCTGGACCCAGGACGGCAAGTAGTGAGTGTCATCCCTCAGAGTCCAGGATACCCCTCACAGTCACTTCTGCCCTGGGTTGGGGCAGACACACTACACCAGAGCCCCAAAGCACACCTGGGGGCCAGACCTGGCCGGCTGCCCATCACCATGCAGCTCATTAGAATGGCTTTTCTGTTTTCCAGTGATGCGGGGGCCGGGGATCCAAAGAGGAGTATTTCATCACATGGAAATGATAGGAAATCCATATTTCAGTGTCCAGAGATAAAGCTTTATTGGCACATGGCCACACCTCTGTGGCCACTCACCCCACACAGGCAGGGTTGAGTAGTTGAGAAAGGAACAGTGGCCCGTGATGAGGGTATCTGCTCTGTCTTTCTGTTGAGAGTCAACTTTTCCATCTCTGACCCCAACAGATCTTTGTTTATAATACATTGAAGTTGGGACTTCCCTCGCGGTCCAGTGGTTAGGACTCCGCACTTTCACTGCAAGAGGGCGAGGGTTCAATCCCTGGTCTGAGAACTAAGATTCTGCATGCTGTGCATTGCGACAAAAAAAGAAACAAATAGAAAAAAGATTTAAACTAACTGTCCACTTAGAGCAGGATATGAAACAAAGGACAAATAAGGGCTGAGGATTTGGCAGAAGTCTCCTAAGTTCACCAGTGATGCAAGGTGTTTGCAGAACAGCTGGATCGTACAGTTTTGTCAGCACCCACCCCACCCCCCTCCCCACCACCCCCGTCTCCCTCCTGGGCATGCCTGCCAGCCAGGGAGGCTTTATGTGCTGTGTAGTCACTTGCTTGTGTCCCTGAAGCCGACAGGAGGAGCCATTCTGATCATGCACACGATGGGCAGGGGGCGTCTGGCCCCAGCTGGCCTGCACCAAGCCCTGAGCTTCCCATCCTCCCATCTCACCCTCCAGCGCCTGGGCCATGTTCCTAGACCGGCCCCAGCAGCACCTCCAGCTGGTCCTCCTGCCCCCAGCCTTGTTCATCCCTACCACTGACAACGAGGAGCAGCGGGCAGCCTTCGCCAGGGCTGTGCCCAGGGATGTCCAGCCATACGTGGTATATGAGGAGGTCACCGACGTGTGGATCAATGTAAGAGCTGGGGTGTGCGGGCTCTGTCCTACCGCACCTCCTGGTTTTCCATGTCCCCACCCCCAGGTCCCCAGCTTCTCAATGTGGAGAAGCCAGCTCAGGAGGGAGGGTTGGGGGGGACTGCCCTCTGGCCAGGCTGTCCAAGCCTCCCCTTTCTCAAAGAGACACAGCCCGAGTTTCCCCCCACCCACTCCTGCCACAGCCCCCACTTATGACACGTCCTCTCTCTGCCCGGACAGGTTCACGACATCTTCTACCCCTTCCCCCAAGCAGAGGGAGCGGACGAGCTCTGCTTCATCCGCGCCAACGAGTGCAAGACTGGCTTCTGCCACCTATACAAAGTCACTGCTGTCCTGCAGCCCCGCGGCTACGACTGGACCCAGCCCTTCAGCCCTGGGGAAGGTGAGCAAGCCCAACTGATACTTAACACTCTTGCCTGTGGTTCAAGCCGGTGGTTCAGTGCACGGCTTGTTCACGGGTCCCACCCCACAGGGAGTGGGTGTTTATGATCAAGAGACTGGCCTTTGCCAATGCCGTTCCTGGTCTGGAAGGGCTATCACAGCCACGACTATTTCTTTTGGCAGCAGGGTTCATCCAGCACCGACTGCATGCCAAGGCCCTTTGTGTACCAGGGCTGTGCCACATGACCCTTTATAGGAGAAGCTGCCCTGCCCTGCACACAGGGAGGGTCACTGTAGAAAGGGACAAGTATGGACATCTCTGCTGTAGAGGGGAGGCAGGCAGACATCCAGAGGCTGTGAAAGACACCAGGAGGCCCGGAGCACATCAGTGGATGACGTGACACAGGGCAGAGACCTGTAGCAGAGGTGGCCAAACAGTGCTCCAGGCAGAGAGCACAGCTGGTGCAAAGGCCTTGGGGTAGGACTGGGCCTGGTGTGGGGGAGGGACAGTGAGGAGGCCCGTGTGGCTGGTGCAGAGTAGTTGGGGGGCAAGGGAGGGAAGGCCTGGTGTGGTTGGGGGGACCCTCCGGACCGTGAGAAGCATGGGCTTGAACCCAGAAGAAGGCTCAGGGGCTCAGAGTGAGTTGGAGCAAGGCAGGGGAACCGCAGGCTGTGCCATCACCCAGGCCCGCGGGGGTCTCGGGCGGCTTGGTAACGAGGGGCACAGAGGCGGTAGAGCTGGAGCAGTGCCTCGGCAGGGCCACCAGCCCTAGAGGAGGCCTGTGCGACTCGGCTCCCCGTGTGGGCCCAGCAGTGAAGGCATCGGGGACGGTGTGGGGGCAGGCAGTGGCGCACCCACCTCGCAGTGAGTGAGGGGCTGAGGAGTGTGTGTCTCTCCTGGGTCCTCTGGTGATGGTCGCTCAGCCCAGGTCTCTGTTCTGCACACCCTGTGGATCTGTGTGGGGACATCTGACCCTCCATAGGAGACGTTGACTGTAGTCTGCTTCAGACCTAAAAGAATAGAAAAGATCTGTAACCACTGTTCATAAACTGTTTTTAATATAAAATTTATAACACATGGCAATAAACATTACATATTATTATTTACCTGATAAGAACTCTAAAGAGAGGACTTCCCTGGTGGTCTAGTCGCTGAGAATCCACCTGCCAATCCTTGGGTCAGGAGGATCCCACATGCTGCGGAGCAGCTAAGCCTGTGTGCCCTAGAGCCTGTACTTCTCAACACAGTGAGAAGCCCGCTCACCACAACTAGAGAGGGCCCACATGTAGCAGCAAACACCAAGCACGACCAAAAATAAGTAAATAAATATATATAAAAAAAGAGATACCTACCCCCCCCCCCAAAAAAAAAGCCCAAAAAGGCTACTGTAACTCCACTGAGCCTTTGCTCAGTCCCAGAGTTTAGTCAAGACCTGGTTCCCAACCTGTCCTAACCAGCCACAAGTCCAAGGCCTGGAAGGAGGTAGTTTGGCCCACAGGGTTCTAAAATTGGGTGCCTTTTTTTTTTGGCCTTATCAGTCTGCATGTGGAATCTTAATAGTTCCCTGACAAGGAATCAAATCTACACCGCCTGCAGTGGAAGCTTGGAGTCAGGAGAAGCTCAGAGTCCTAACCACTGGGCAGCCAGGGAAGTCCTGAAAATTGGATGTTTTTGGTAAAAATGCAGATCTCAGGTCTGTGTCCCATGCCGGGGGCCCGGCTGTTCCGCCTGCCTGCCCCCCAGCTGCCTGGGCTTTGCAGTGAGTCCATTTTGTGCTTTGAGTCCGTGTCACAGCTTCCCTGGGCCCCTTTCACCTCTTTTCCTATCCTTCCAGATGAATTTAAATGCCCCATCAAGGAGGAGATCGCACTGACCAGCGGCGAGTGGGAGGTTTTGGCGAGGCACGGCTCCAAGGTACCCGAGTCTCCACACACACCTGTATATATATACGTGCACAGACACACACACACAGTCCTGACTCCTTCAGATCCTGAGAGCCTGTGGCTTCTCCTCCACCCCCACGCCCCCCACCTGGCCACCCGCTCCTGCTCTGCAACTGAGGGTCATGGGGGCTGCACTTCCCACCAGCAGGAGATCCTGGGTCAGGAAGCAGGGTGCTCTGCGTTTCCTTTGTTGGATCCTGGTGGTTGGGGCCTGGCCCATTCTCCCTGCCACCAGGAGTGTCCACTTGGCCTCCTTCGCCTGCATGAAGCTACCTGTAGACAATGGTGGGGCCCACCGTGGAACCGCCCTGCATTCATCACTGGGGGCCAGGTCTGCAGAATTCTCAATTTTATGGAGAGACCCCTTAATCAGACGTCCTGGAGCCCTCCCGCCCTCCCAGCTTTTATAAAGGTCTCCTGGTCCAAAGACTCAGACAGACCTAAACTGTCCAAGTGCCCAAGAGGAGATGTAGGCCAACCTTTTTAAAGCCCAGAGCTGGGTGGCCTGTGTGCTGCCAAGAGAAGGGGTCTGGACACTCCTGGGTAGGGGGCAGAGAAGGCATTCATTACAGTGTCAACCTGCACCTCATTTGACCTGACAGCCCCCATTCTAGGCAAGAGCACCCAAGGCACACCCGGGTTAGCACACAGATGTGCACTGTTTATACGGTGGAAAAGAGCAGTTTGAAAACACTCGATGAGGAGACAAGTGACCTCCTTGGGCCTGGGTAATGTAAGGTACTGTGCCCATGACAGTGGGACCACAGCTGTCCCTACTGGGTGGCTCTGCTGTGCTTGAGTCTTGACGGAGGCACTCCTGGGCTCCTGGCCTCACTCGGCCCAGCCAGCCAGGCACTAAGACTGGGTTTCCTTGCTGTGACACGAGGCCATCAAACAGCTCCAACCCTCCCATCTCCACAGCAGTATCTCCCTCAGTGCTGTGGACACTCGGGGCAACTGTGGGCACTGTGGGTGTAGAGCAGCCTCCCTGGCCCCCACCCCAGCTGTGATGACCACAGATGTGTCCAGAGGCTGCCAAATGGCCCGGGGTGCAGAGCGGCCCCAGGTGAGAACCCTGCTTTTAAAGTACTTTGAAGGCTTTTAGCAGCTGGCAGACACACAGGACAGTATTAAAATCTTTCTCCAGGGACTTGCTGGGTGGTCCAGTGGTTAGGACTCAGTGCTCTCTCTGCCAGGGCCTGGGTTCAGTCCCTGGTAGGGGAACTAAGATCCCACATGTCGTGCTCACGCCTGGAAAAAAAACCAAAACTTTTCTTTGTGGTCAAAGTTTAACCCTCTGCACACCCTATCTTTTTACCTAGAAATTTTCTTTAAAATAAAAAAGCAACATTTTAAGAAAGAAAAAAGGAAAGAATGCCCTTTGCCGTCCCTGCCCACAGCCACATGCTCTACCCTTGTGCCTCGGGTCTGAGTGGGTCCCTCACCTGCAGACCCTCCTTCCTACCCATACAGCTTCTCGCAGAGTCTTGGTGACAAAACCAGCACACGACTTAACCACAGGTGGTTTGGGATTTTCTGATGACATCCTCCATTTTCAGAAAACCTGCATTTATTTTCCAGTGAGCAAGTGACAACCACCATATCAGCATTTGTTGTAAAAATTGAACTTCTCTATACGGTCCCCTTCCATCCTCACCCCAGGCCCCCGTGACCTGCCTCTGTCCTCAGAAGTGACCACAGTGGGGAATCACTATAGGTCTTTCCTGTTTGCACAGGAACATGAGTCCCTGTTTGTAGGGTTGCACGGCTTCTGGTGGCCCCAGAGAGGTGTGCTGTAAGAGTGGAGCCAGCCTGTCATTAGGACATTCCAGCTGTCAGCTCTCTCATCTGGAGAGCACTTGGGGCATCGCTGTGCCTTCATCTGGAATTCGCCCCTCCACTGCCATCCTTGGGAGCAGTCCCCAGGCACAGAGGCCTGTTCAGAGCACGTGTGCTGCACGGTCCGCCCCGCAAGGCAGTGCCTCTTCCGTCCCCAGAACGAGGTGCTTTCTTCCTCCTCCTGAGGTCACTGCCTGAGAACCACGCCCAGGTCTGATGGGCTTTTCCTCCAGGAAGTAGCGGGGCAGGGAGTAACACTTCTTAACCCTGAGCACTTGGGTCAGAGGGTGGGCTGTCCCCACTGGGGACCAGGACTGGGGGCTGCTGGACCCAGGACAGGCCCTCCCTCAGCCTCGGTACCCCCCACACTCTGCCTTCAGTCCCCCACTGGTGGCTCTGGGCCCTCCTGGAAGGAGCTGTCCAGACTGGGAGTTCTGATTCCAAGTCGGACCAAGGACATGTGGTTAGCCCAGCTCTAGTGGAGTGGGCTTCTTCCCTGCGGGATCCAGGACCATCTCCCAGACAGTTCTCCAGCTGGTGGGCTGAAGCCAGCTCTGGGAGAACAGTCCTCCCTGTTCACAGAACACTGAGCCCTCCCAGGGGCGGGGAGGGAGGCCCCGGGGGCCATGTCACCAGGAGCCCCCGTGCCACCTGCAGATCTGGGTCAACGAGGAGACGAAGCTGGTGTACTTCCAAGGCACGAAGGACACGCCCCTGGAGCATCACCTTTATGTGGTCAGCTACGAGGTGGCCGGCGAGATCGTGCGCCTCACCACGCCCGGCTTCTCCCACAGCTGCTCCATGAGCCAGGTGGGCCCCTCCCCAATGTGCCCTCCCTTGGAACATTCCAGGATATCAGGCAGCAATCTGGAACATGACCACAGGGCCACCCTCAACCCAGACAAGTAGCCAGTGTAGTTTGCTGGCGGTAGGACCAGCAAGCTGGGCAGGTCCCTCAGTCAGCACCCAGGGACCCCTGGTCAGGGGACAGGCTCTTCTCACCTCTCAGGGTAGGGGTGGTGGTAACAGCAGGGTCACACAAGCAAGCACACCGCACAGGGTATAGACGGCAGGCAGTTAATGCAGGTGGGGGTGATGGGGGAAGGTGCCTCCACAGCGTGGGTGATGGGAGGCACCCCGCGGTCTCAGTGCCCCATCCCACCTGCAGAACTTCGACATGTTCATCAGCCACTATAGCAGTGTGGGTACGCCACCCTGCGTGCACGTCTACAAGCTGAGCGGCCCTGACGACGACCCTCTGCACAAGCAGCCCCGGTTCTGGGCCAGCATGATGGAGGCAGCCAGTGAGTAACCCCAGACCCCCGAGACCTTGACTGAGTGCATCGCCGCCCGAGCCCCGGTGAATAACGTGGGTGAGCACAAGGCAGCAAGCGGCCCAGAGCCCCAAGAACCGATCAAGTGCAACCACAGACCCGAACTGTCCCATGGGGCCCCCAAGACAGCTTCAAGTTTCTGTGCTGCCGTCCCAGAGAGAGCACATGCAAAGGGCAGGAGCTGGCTCTGCCAGGCGGAGGGGTCCCTACACAGGGCCAAGTGCACCTGTGCAGAGCAGATGGCCCCTGCCTGGGGTTGGTCACTAGGGGCCTCAGGGAGTGGGAGGCAGCTGGTCAATTAATCCAGGAGCCTCCAAGGCGGCCAGGCCTCCACCCGGGTGACCCTGGGTTCCAATTCTAGCTGCGGAAGCAAAGGCCAGTCAGTTTAGTTCATCTTTCAAATGCTTCATTACCTACTGAGTGGCCCCATGGCAGCCCACGAGATGTAAACAATGCTCTGCAGAGCACCCTGCCATGGGGATCACTCCCTAATAAGGCTGCCCTCTCCTGCGCAGGGCTGCCCATTGTAGATTTCCAGGACACCGTAGGACATAAGATCCCTGGGGGTTGTGGGTGTTAACAGGCTTTCCTGTGGCTCAGACAGTAAAGAATCTGCCTGCAATGCAGGAGACCCAGTTTCAGTCCTTGGGTTGGGAAGATCCCCTGGGGAAGGAAATGGCAACACACTCCAGTATTCTTGCCTGGAGAATTCCGTGGACAGAGGAACCTGGCAGGCCATAGCCCATGGGGTCACAAAGAATCAGATACGACCGAGCGACTAATACTTTCAACACTTTGAATGGGCAGTCTCTTACCATCACTGCTCCCAGAACATGAGTAAATAAGCAGCCTCCTCCATCTGACAGCGCAGTCCTGGAACTTGGCCCTGGTTCACAGATGAGGAAAATGAGGGAAGAGAGGGGCCTGACAAGGTTCCACCCAGCACTGAACAGGGGCAGCAAAGGGGGCTCAGGAGTCCTGATGCCCAGCCCTGGATGTGCAGGCAGGCCCATGGGGGCACTGTTTTCCCCCAAAGCCTAATCTGGCTGTGTTTGTGGGTCACCGCTGTGAGAAGTGGGCAGACTGGCCCTCTGGCCGCACCTGGCCACACTCAGTCGTTTTGGCTTCATCTGTGGCCACTCTGGGCAGCCGCAGCAGAGTCAAGTGCTCACAGCCCTTCATGGCCACAGGCCCCCCAGCCACAGATTCAGCCAGCCACAGAGCATACTAAAAGGCAAAACCTGACTTGTGCATGGCAACCATTTACATAGCACTTACACTGTGTTTACAACTAGTTACATAGCATTTGTGTTGTATCAGGTATAATAAGTAACTCAGGTGACTGAAAGCACACGGGAGGGTGTGTGTATGCCATCTTATATGAGGGACTTGAGTATCTGCGGCTTTTGGTATCTGGGTGGGGGGGGGGGGTGCCCTGGACCTAGTCCCCTGAGGATACAGAGGGACAAGTGTGGTGACAACCCAGACACACAGAATGTCTCTTTTGCACGTAAAACCAAAAACACTACCTGGCCTTTTGTAGTAAACACTGTGGACCCCTGGCCTATATCATTGTTGACTCATTTGCCTTTTAAATTGACTCTCTGTTTACTTCAAGAAACTTAAAATCTCTTCACCACTGGATTGAAAAGCCAGTGTTGCTCTGCAAAAACAGAAGTAACCATAAAAATCAGAGAGAAGACCCCTCCCGCCACCATAAAATTGATCTTAATCAGATCCCAGAGCTGCTGTCACCTTCAGGGGAGAGGAACCAGTGTCGGGGGCTCTGGAGAGGGTCCCAGATGTGCAGGCACCCAGGGTGCAGGTCACTTCCAGCCTGCAGACTCTGTAACTGCCAGGAAGCACAGAAGACGGGGTGCTCCTGGCCCACCTTCTGGATTTGGGGGAGTGTGGGTTTGGTCAGATGTGGGCCCTGCTCAGATTTGAGCCTGCCTTGGCTCACCCTGGCCCTCAGAGCCACAGCCACTCTGTCTCCACAGGCTGCCCCCCGGATTACGTGCCTCCAGAAATCTTCCATTTCCACACGCGGTCAGATGTGCGGCTCTACGGCATGATCTACAAGCCCCACGCCCTGCAGCCGGGGAAGAAGCACCCCACTGTTCTCTTTGTGTATGGAGGCCCGCAGGTGGGCACGCCCTTCCCTCATACTCCTCCACTCCACCCAGGGCTTGAGGGGCCCCTCCTAGTGCTGCTTCCCGTCCCCACTGACCACACGGGATTCTTGGGGACCACCCGGTCGCTGCACAGCCTCCTACCCGCCTCCACCTGCTGATCTCTACATCCCTCTGGGAAGCCCCCCAAACCCCGTCTATGTGTCTGGGCCACCCACCCAGCAGTGACCCACTCTTACCCTTGGTCACCAGCTTGGAGCCCTGGGCCCGGCCCTCTGAGAAGGGGACAGGCCAGGCAGGCAGGTTGGCAAGCAGGTGCATCTAAGACAGTGGTTCTCAGCTGGGGTGGCTGTCCCCCAGGAGACACTTGGTGACATCTGGGGACATTTGTAGTCATCACAGCTGGGGTGGGGGTGCTCCTGGCATCTAGTGGGTAGAGGCTGGAGGTGCTGTCAACACCCTACAGCCAGCAGGACACCACCCGGAACTTGATGAGGCCCGAACATGAATTGTGCTGAAGTAGGGGACCAGCATAAGCCACATTACTTGGGGGATACACCGCCCGGCACCACCAGCCTGCCAGCCTCCCCATCAGCTTTTTGTCTATTTCTAGACATAACAGGAGGGTAGAAAGGAGGCAAACGTAGCTGAAGAGATAGGGGGTTATCCCAGGGAGGGCCCGGGGCAGCGGCCTCCTCTTGGGGCATCCACAGGCTTCATGATGGAACGCAGGCCTCCTCTTTAGACTCACATCTGCCTTGCCTTCCCCACAGGTGCAGCTGGTCAATAACTCCTTCAAAGGAATCAAGTACTTGCGGCTCAACACCCTGGCCTCCCTGGGCTATGCTGTGGTCGTGATTGACGGCAGGGGCTCCTGTCAGCGAGGGCTTCGATTCGAAGGGGCTCTGAAAAACCAGATGGTAATGTCTCTTCCCATTCCCTTCTTGTGTGGTGAAAGTGGGGGGACCTGGGGTTTGGGGGCGGCCCTGAGGCATCTTGCTCAAGGACAGTCCTGGCCAGAGTGTCAGTCCTAAGTGGGGCGGCCTGTGTAATTAGAGAAATGTCCACTCTGCTGCTCAGCTCTGAGCGGTGCCCCATGGGGAGACAGATACACATATGCCCCACCTGGTGCCTAAGACCCAGATGCAGCCAGGCGTGTCAGTGTAGGCCTGATCAGCAGAAGCCCCAAGGGCTAGGTCAGACAGGCACTGGTGGCGGTGGCGGTGGTGGTGAGGGTGGTGGTGACGATGGGGATACTGATGGTCGTGGGGGTGATACTGGTGATGATGAGGAATTTGGTGGCGATGGTGGTGATGAGGATGGAGGTGGTCATGCTGGTGGTGGTGATAACACCAGCTGTTTGAGTCTTGGCACACACCAGGCCTCTGAATACAGGGCACCTTGCATCTCATTTCATCCTCACACCCACTGTAAAATCTTCATGTTAACCTCCTTATTTTGGGGATGGGGAAACTGAGGCCCAGTGAGGGGATGTGACTGTATCAGAGCCAGCCAGGAGATGGCAGGGCAGGGTTGGTGCCAGGTCTGGCTGACCACCACCCTGAGAGGTTTGCATGGGGCCTGGAGAGAGGGTGACTTCCAGAGAGGGCCTCCTGTGAAGGAAGGGAGACAGTGGGGCATGGGCCTGGGAGGAGGCCACTGAGGGCTACCTGGCCTCATCCCCCAGGGCCAGGTGGAAATCGAGGACCAGGTGGAGGGCTTGCAGTTCGTGGCCGAGAAGTATGGCTTCATTGACCTGAGCCGGGTGGCCATCCACGGCTGGTCTTACGGAGGCTTCCTCTCGCTCATGGGGCTGATCCACAAGCCCCAGGTGTTCAAGGTGGGTCCCGCCCCGCCTTCTCCCCCATCTGCCAGCGCCCCCGTGCCCCTTGGAGCCCGCCCCCCCGGGGGAGGCATCTCGGCAGGGGCCTTGCCACGTGGCTGTTTCTCCCCGCAGCAGCCCCAAGGGGCCGAGCCCCCCTCCTCATTGCCCGCCACTGCTGACCCCAGGATGGCGTCCGGCTGCACAAAACCCTGCCAGCAGCTCTCTGTGGGAGGCTGAGCTCGGGACCCCGGCCCCGGACGGGCAGAGGTGGGGCATGGTGTGGAGAGCGTCGGGGGAGGGGCCCCCAGGCCGGCGGCGCTGCCAGGGCGATGAGGAGGAGGAGGCAGGAAGGCAGTGGGCCCAGGGAGGGGCCGAGTCCAGCCTGAGCGCTCGCCCAGCTCACCCACCCTCCCACGACAGTGCACGGTCCGCGGGGGAGACACGTCGGAGGGCCCCTCCCCGCCAGCCCCCGTGTGCATGCCCGCTCCTCATGTCCTCCGGGGGAGGCCCCGGGACCACAGGCCAAACGCAGGCTCCCAGGACGTGACTTCCGTGTGTGTGTCTCTTTCTCCCGCCACCCCTTCACCCACGGTGGCCCCCAGGTGGCCATCGCAGGCGCCCCAGTCACAGTGTGGATGGCCTACGACACTGGCTACACAGAACGCTACATGGATGTCCCAGAGAACAACCAGCTTGGCTACGAGGCGGGTTCCGTGGCCCTGCATGTGGAGAAGCTGCCCAATGAGTAAGGCCCCCTTCCGTCCACTTGCCGGGTCACCAAGGCTGGCCCTCCACTGAAGCTGGGTTCTCCTGGGGCCAGGTGGGCGTGGCTTCCACACCCCTTTTCTGTCTGCGCCGGCGCCCCCTCCCTCACCGCTCTTCACAGAAAGCAGGCCCCCAGGTCCTCTTGGACCAAGGAGGGAGGGAAGCCCCCCAGCCCTGCCCCTAGAAACATGGAGAGGAAGATCTACAGTGACACTGCTTTGGACGGCCCTGGCGCCCCTCACCTCCTAAGCACGTGGCCTGCCATGGGCCCCATGCGTCGGTTTTGAACCCTAACCGCCTCTATCTTGCGGGTTCTACTTCAGAACCCACGTCCACAATGGTTGTAAAACCTACGTGTGTTGGCCCAGCTCTGATAGTCCATGTATGTTTTGGGCACTGGTTTCTGAGTCTCCCATCGGAAAGAAAATGTCGGGGCCATTTCTCATGTGCCTTCTGTCTGGTGAACGTCCACCCTGGCCCCTCCTTTAGTACCAAGGTTCTTTTTTTTTTTTTTAAGTACCAAGGTTCTTGTCCCAGACTGACCCTGTCTTGGCGCCTCTCCCTGCGAGGCCATTCTCTTCAGTCTAGAGGGTGACCTGGACTCCAGGGGCTGCCATGGTGCAGCCAAGCTCAGAACCCACAGCTCTGCAGACACTTCCATTCACTTTTGCATTCATCTCAGTTCACTGGAATAATAAAAGACAGAAGCCTGGTGGTTGCCAGGGGCTGGGAGCAACTGCTCATGGGCATAGAGTTTGCTTCAGAGTGATGGAAATGTTCTGTAACTTAGGATCCAGGTGATGGCTACATGACATTATGAATGTACCAAATGCCCCTGAATTGTTCCCTTTAAAATGAGTGAATTTTAAATCATATGTCACCTCAGTAAGCTATTTTTATGTCAAAATTTCAAAAGGAATCATCCTCCACCACCCACACCACATGTCAGGTGCTTGGTAGCCACTGGTGGTGTTAGGTGGGGCAGGCCTAGCACATTCCAGAAGCTTCTGGGACCTCAGGGCATTCCAGGTACCACCAGCCACACCCTCCCCTCCTGGCCAGGCATCTCCCAGGCATCTGCCAGTCACGCCAGATCATTGGGTTGCTCCACCATCTGCTGCCAAGTTGCTGCTGCTGCCTCCTCACTGCCATGGGGCAGGGTGAGAGAAGGGGGTTCAGCCTCAGACCCTCACCCCAACCTTGTCTTCCAGGCCCAACCGCCTGCTCATCCTGCACGGCTTCCTGGATGAGAACGTGCACTTTTTCCATACAAACTTCCTCGTCTCCCAGCTGATCCGCGCAGGAAAGCCTTACCAGCTCCAGGTGAGTGGCTCCTCCCAGGAGCTCGCAGGGTGGGCAGCAGCGTGGGTGGGGAGGGGGGCAGTAGGGGGAACCCATGTCCCTGTCCCCATCCTCACATCTGACTGCCTGGCTCCTCACGGTAATTGGTAATTACCCTGGTTCTCTGGGTTCCCGAGTCCATTCAGTAGATGTCTCGCGGTCCACTCTGCCCTCTGCTGGCCACCTCTGGGAACTGGGGGAGCACACGCTCTTACTGCAGGAGTACACGCGTTATTTTAAACCAAGAAGCTTGCTTTGAAGTTCAGAACCCCACCCAGAAAGTATGAGGCATGGTGGGGGGGGGGGCGGGTTACCTTGAACAGGGGTCGGAGAGGAATTCCCTGAGGAGGTGACATTTAAGGATGCTAATCAGCTAGGCCTAGGGGTCGGCTGTGGCGGACACTGGACACAGGAAATTAGTGAAAGGGAGCAGCTCAGGGACGAGAGACCAGCGCGGTTGCAGCCAGCAGAAGAGCCGAGGACCAGGGCCGGGTGACCGCCGGTGGTCCCTCTGGTGGTGGGCGGGGCTTCGGTGTAAGGGTGGGGCTTTTGTGGTAAAGGGCTGGGCTTTGGGAGTGGGTCTCAGGGGAGGGCTGTATTTTTTCCTAAGGGTGAGGAAAAGTCAGTCATCTTTCAGGCAGCCATGTAGACAGGCCCGTGGAGCCAGTGGGACATGCATCAGTCAGTTGTCCCGGCAGGAAAGGGGCCGGGAGTGGGGAGCGAGAGGCCTGGTGGACTCCAGGGGCGGGATGTGGTTGGGGGGTTGGTTGGGGGAGGCCTGATGCTGGATGTAAGGAGGACAGATTTGATTACCTGCTGCTGCCACGCGGTCTTTCTGCTTCCTGGACCCTTCACGTGCTCAGTCCTGTCAGCGGAGGACACGTTGCCATTCAACAGATGGAAAAACTGAGGATCCCCGGGCAGGAGGGACAGGCCTCAGGGATCTATGGCTGTGCACGCGCGGGCCACAGGGCAGGGGGCCGGCGGGGCTCCCGCGGGGTGAAGAGCTGTTGGGAGCAGCCCCGCCCCCAGCCTCACATGCACCTCCAGCACAGCCAGCGGCAGCTGCGCTTCAGAGCTGAGGAGTCAGGCAGGGCCAGGGTGGATCCTCAAGCGTCCCTTCTGAGCCTGAAGGCCCGAGTCTCCCGGTTGGGGTAGCCCCTCTCTCCCTGAGTGACCAAGGTGGCAGGTCCTTTAACCTTGGGCCTGGTCTCCTTGTCTATGAAATGGGCTTGATGACCCCTGCCTCTTGAGAGGTGTTGAGGGTCAAATGAGTGCTCTCAGGAAAAACATTTGGCACATGGGGGCCTGGAGACTTGTGCCTCTGCCTCCCAGGGGAAGTTGAAAGTGAGACAAGATGCTCCCTTGGGGGGTAGGAGAGGGGGTATGGAGCACACCCATTTTCCGCTTTAGACACCCAGAAACACTTGGCCTGGAGGCTGACAGGCCAAACTTGTTCACATTGTTGCCACAGATCAGGCCCACGACTGGGGGTTGGGAGCGTAGTGGGGAACCAGATGAGCTTCTCCTTGCCCTCACAGCCCAGGGGGAGGAAGTGACCAGGCACCCAGGACCCAGGGTGGCGTAGAGGGGTGGGTGTCTGTCCCAGGTCGTGCCACTGCCCTGGGCCCTGAAAGAGTAGGACCTATGAAGCTGTGGGAGCAGTAGGACCCAGGAATCCAGGTCTTGAGCTCAGCCTGGCAACTCCTTTGAGCTGGGGACAGTATGATGAGACTTGTGACTCATCCAGGATGGATTACTCAAGGCAAGGGTGGAGGAGGGGAGATCTCTGAGCAGTTAGATGCATTCCTAGGGTGTGAAGCAGGTCTCACACCTGCCCCAGGAACCCTCACTCCATGGCCAGAGGCAAGACCCGCCTTGCTGTCACCATCCACCTGCTGCTACTCAGCCAGGTCTGGACTGGGTGATTCCTTGGGCGTGGCCCCTGTCACCAGCACACTGCCACTTCTCTCAGGGGATGGTCCCACCCTTGGTTATTGAGAGGGCCCAGGAAGCACTTCGCAAAGCCTTGGAGGAGGCCCTCCTAGAGCGAGGCCTTCCTGTAGCCTGGGTGTGTCCAATCCCCAGTGGGGCCTGTTGGTAAAATGCAGTGGCTCAAGTGAGGGCAGCAAATGTCTCCATGATTTGAAGCCCCAGCCCCTCTGCGGATATGAGTTCCTCACACTCCCTGGGTTTGGGGGACAGAGGAGTAGCACAGCTTCTCAAGGCTTTCATGTGTGCTTAAGTATCTGCATTAGCTGGCCCGGGCCACACAGACCCTACAAGGTCTGAGTTTTTCACTCAGCTCTCATTGGGGGAGGCTGTCACTTGCCCAGCAAGTTGTCTGTGGACGGGGGATTCGAACTTGGATCCCTCAGTTCCAGAGCAACACCGCTTCCCAGGGTGGCGAGGGTTGGGACCGAGGCCCTGAGGGGAGATGCTGGGAGCCAGACTCAGTGGGCGAGGTTTGGGGTGCAAGGTCCTCGGTGCCACCAGCCTGCCTTCTCTTTCCACCTAGATCTACCCCAACGAGAGACACAGCATCCGCTGCCCCGAGTCTGGCGAGCACTATGAAGTCACACTGCTGCACTTTCTTCAGGAACACCTCTGAGCCCGGGGCCGCCTCGGGAGGGGCCTGCACAGTCAGAGCACAAGTGGCTCCGCAGCCGCCATCGCGCATGCTGGGGGCAGGAGGGACAGAGTGGCCTCACGGGCCCTGCACCGCGCCTCCTCCCACCAGCCCGCGGGACTGCCTGCCCTGGGAGCCACCACCTTCGCCCCCACACCTTTGTTTTTGTTCACGCTCCTGGGTTTTTTGCCTGCTGCTTCTGGGTTGCCTGGATGGAGCACTGAGGCTAGCGTCCACAAAGCACTTCCTCAAGCCATCCCTCCACTCCCCATTGTCTGGGAGCCTCAACTCCACTGGGCGCTGAAGGCCTGAAGAGACTCAGAGAAGCCTGGCCTTTGCACCATTCACCCCAGGGACAGGGTCGGGTTGGGGGTGGCCAGGCCTAGGCTTGGGCCCAGCCACCGGTGCAGAAGCATGCAGTTGCCTGTCCTCCCCACCTGCGCCCACTTCCTGTGATTTTTTTTTTTTTGGCTGGGTGTGGGGCGCGTTTTATTATTTAAAAGACAGAAAGCTAGGGGTGCCTAGATCTAGAACCTGAGTCTGCCACTGGCCACCGGGTTCACCCCAGCCAGCACTCGAAACAGGAGCCGTGCACCCAACAGACCACAAGTAGTGCGCAGGGGAGCGGGCAGCCCTCCGGCCCGGCTCTCCCCCGGCTTTTAGGCAGGCTCTGAAATGTGACCAGCTGGGGCTCCGCTGGCCAGCGGCTGCTGCCCCCTCTCCAGCCCGGCCATCTGGTCCCACGTTTCTGCCTGGCCCGCACTAACCGGGCTTCCAGGGTTGGGAGTGGAACCCTCCCCGCCTCAGGGTTATCCTTACTCTTCCTTTCCCTCCCTCCAAGAGTTCTGCCAGGGGCGGGTTAAAAAAAACAACAACAACAACAAAATCCCACCAGAGAGATGAACCACCTCTACATATTACGGAAAGAAAATATTTTTGTCAATTCTTATTCTTTTATAATTATGCGTGTAAGAAGTAGACACATTAAACAATTCCAGATGGAAGCGTTGCCACCTGCCTAAGGTTCCTTCAAAGCTAAACTCCCCGGGGCTGGTGATGGGGGTTCTGTGGGTGGGCAGGGAAGTCCCAGGAAGCGACTGAGCCAAGGGCAGGGCAGTCTTGGCAGTGGTGGGAGAGGGGCTGCTTGTTCAGCCTTGCCGCCCTGGCACAAATGGCAGGGGGCCCCATGCCACAGCTAGAAGATGCCCAAAGGACCGTCTCAGAGGTCCTGAGGCAGCTTGTGGGTGCCACTGAGGGACCCAGCCCAGGCTGTCATGGGCAGCCTGGCCCTGACTTCCTTTTGCATCTTTTCTTGTCTAGAGGCTTGATTTGGTGGTTGGAGCATCAGGACACACCGACAAGTGGGGGCAGGGGGCGGACTCTTCAAGTCTGTCCCAACAGCTGAGAGAGGAGGCTGGAGACCCTGCCTGTGCCGGGCGCACTCATGATACTTGAGTGTCTCAAATGGCACAATGACCTCGGCCCCAGGGCCACCACCCGCTCCATCCTTTGCGAAGGTCCACTTTTATTTTCAATGGCTTAAAGAGTAAACCAGGGACTCCCCTGGATGGTCCAGTGGTTAAGAAACCATGCATCCACTGCAGGGGGCACAAGTTTGATCCTTGGATGGGGAAGTTCCACATGCTGCAGTGTGGCCAAAAATAAACCAGTACAAAACGGTACAGAGAGGAAAGCGATGCCCTCCCCAGTCTCTCCTGTTAGAAAAATTATTTTCGGCTGTGCTGGGTCTTCGTTTATCTGCTCAGGGTGTCTCTGATTGTGGCAAGCAGTGGCTACTCTCTAGTTGCAGTGGCTTCTCTTGTAGAGCATGGGCTCTAGAACATGCAGGCTTATGTAGTTGCAGCACCTGGGTTCAGCAGTTTGGCTCACAGGCTTAGCTGTCCCATGTTATGTGGAATCTTCCCGGACCAGGGATTGAACCTGTGTCACCTGCATTGGCAGGAAAATTCTTAACCACTGGACCATAGGGAAGTCCCCCAGTCTCTCTTTTTAATACCTGCCTTCTGTTTTGCTCTGGGAATGCCATAATTTATTTTGCCAGGCACTTATCAAGGGATAGGATTATTCTGGGCTTTTTGTATAAATCAGGGGTCAATAGACTGTCAAGGACCAGAGAGTAAATATTTCAGGGTTTGTGGGCCCAGGCAGTCTCTGTTCCAATTGCTCAGCTCTGGCCCTTGCAACTCAAAAGTAGCCAAGGGTAATGTATAAATGAGTGGATGTGGCTGTGTGCCAATAAAACTTTATTTACAAAACCACACCTTGGCCAAATTTGGCCCACAGGTTGTCATTGACCAACCTCTACTATAAAAGATCCTGAAACAAACAGCCTTGTACATGTTTTGGGCATGTCTGAATTTATAGGGTAATTTCCTAGAATTATTGAAAGGCATATTCATTTTTAATTTTGAAGAATACTGCAATATTGCCTTCTAAGGAGAATGCCTCCGTGTGCACACCTCTTGGTGAAGTGTGCCCCTTGCTCCATTCCTTCAGTGTTGCTCTTGTTCAGTCACTAGGTCATGTCTGACTCTTTGTGATCCCATGTACTGCAGTACGCCAGGCTTCCCTGTCCTTCACTATCTCCTGGAGTTTGCCCAAGTTCATGTCCATTAAGTCAATGATGCCATCCTCTATCATCCCTTTCTCCTTTTGCCTTCAATGTTTCCCACCATCAGAGTCTTTTCCAGTGAGTTGGCTGGAAAAGGTGGCCAAAGTATTGGGACTTTAGCCTCAATATCAGTCATTCCAGTGAGTATCAGGGCTGCTTTCCTTTAGGATTGACTGGTTCGATCTCCTTGCAGTCCAAGGGACTCTCAAGAGTCTTCAGTACCACCTGTTAGTTATTTTTTAAAAGCTCAGGGAGTGAAACACAGCAGCTCACTGTAATCTGAACTCATATTTCTTTTATGTGTGTATGAATATTTTCATGCTTTAAGGCACTTGTTTACTGCTAATCATTTGCCAACCTTTTTAAATTTCTTTTTGGCTTGCAGGATCTTGGTTCCCCAGTCAGGGATGGAATCCAAGCCCTTGGTAGTGAGAGCAGAGAGTCCTAACCACTGGACCACCAGGGAATTCCTTGCCCACCTTTCTTTTGATACGTTGGCCTCATTCATTTGTAGACACTCTTTATATATGAAGGAAATAAGCGCATTGTCATACATGTTGCAAACTGAACAATGTTGCTGATTTCAAAATGTTTGATGGGTAGGAAGCTCAGCCGATGAATGTTAAGAATCATCTCAGGAATAAGAATATACCTTGCCCATAATCCACTGTGAAAGTGGAGAGACAACTAATCACAAGTCACAGAATGACAGAATTTGATGAGAAAGGAGTCACTAGGGTTGCCCAGGAGGCTTGGCAGTTGGCAACCCACAACCATCTCAAGCAGAAAACTTTTTTTTGGGGGGGGGGGGCATTGGGGGGGGGGCACTGCCTTGTGGCATGCTGGATCCTCTTCCCTGACCAAGGATCAAACAAGTGCCCCCTGCAGTGTAAGCATTCCAGTTCTATGCGCTGGACCACCAGGGAAGTTCCTGTTTGTTTGTTTTAAATTGACCATAGACACATAAGAAGTTGCAAAAAACAGTGCAGAGTCTCATGTACTCAGCTTACATCTTACCTAACCCTAATACACTGTCATGCCAGGAACATGATGTGAATACAGCGCAATGAACTAAACTCTAGACCTCATTCAGATTTTATCAGCTTTCACAGGCACTCATATATGTGTGTAGTTCTCTTCCACTCTGTCACCTGTACAGATTCCTAGAACCACCACCACAGTCAAAATACAGAGCTGTTGGGAAATCCCCTGGTGGTCAATCTGTTGGTTAAGACTAAGCTTCCACTTCAAGGGACCCAGGTTTGATCCCTGGGCCAGGGAACTAGGATCCCACATGCCTCATATCCAGGAAAAAAAAAAATACATATATATATATACACATATACACAGAGCTGTTAATTTACCACGAGTTCCTTCATGCACCCTCTATGATGTCCACACTCACCCTGTTTATGGTGTCCTGACCATGGAGACAGAAGCCGTGGTAGTTGTGTTACCAAATCTTTTTTGACTGCTAGATTTCATGTCATGATTAAAAAGCAGAATCTTGGGAATGATGGTTTTTTTCTTTAAATCCCTTCAGTTTTTTGTTTGTTTCTCTTTTGGGTTTTGTTTTTATAGGCAAAAAGGAAAAACAGAAACAAGAGGCTGGGGTTCAGTCTGAGAAGACCACACACATACACACACCTACCCCTATTGAGTAGGAAACTCAAAACTACTCACAACCAAATACCTTGTCACCTACAGCGTTTGGCCACTAATTGAATCCTTCATAGGGACATGCTGAAGGTCAAACACAGGAGGTAGGGAAATGGAGACATCAAAAGAACTGTGCTGTGTGAAACACCAAACAGTCTGCTGTCCTCTGATTTATGGAGCCAATTCCTAACAGGTCCACGGCAGCCGGGTGCAAAGAGGGAAGCATTTCTTAACATGAGCAGGTACCCCCACTCAGAACAGGCTGTAAGAAATAAATTGTTTTAACAACCCAGACTAAGGCAAGGATCCAATCCTGGATCCCAGTTGTCTTTCGACGTCTTGGTCTCCTCATTTTGTGATGGTTCCTCAGCCTTTGTCTTTCATGACATTTTTAAAGAGAACTGCCAGCTACCTAGGTAGAATGTCCCTCAACTTGGGTCCCTCTGGTATCTGCTCTGATCAGATTGAGGCCGTGCATTTTGCACAGAAATTCCACGGAGATGCCACTCAGAATGTCCTCTGTATCCCATGGTGGCTCCATGAAGTCACTGTCTTTTTTAACGACGTTGACTTTGCTCAATGGGCTAAAGATGGTGCCGCCCCTCTAAAATTACTACTTTTCTCTTTGTAGCTATTATGTATCTCTGGGGGAAATACTTTGAGATAATGCAAAAATCCTCTTCCCCACCAGTTTTAAGCATGGATCCACGAATCTTGGAGTAACAAAGAGTTGTTTGTTCAATGGTGATCTTCCATTTCCCTCATTCTGCCTACATGCATTAACCTGAATTTCAGTGGTGCTCCTTTATATCCTTCATTCGTTGTACACGTGCTAACTAGAAGAGTTGAAGGGTCAGTCACTTACCTAGTGAGGGACGAATGGACCCCAAACCAAGAAACCCTGTTTCATCAACCCCAGAACGCTACTGGGACTTCCAAGCCCCGCCCCCAAGATGGCAGCACGGGTAGGAGGGGCGGGGCCCTCCGGATCACGTGGTCGCGCCGACGGCGACGTGGCCTCCGCCAGACTCCCTACGTGTCCCTCACCGCGCTCCGTCCGCCGTCCCTGCCCCCGTGAACCTGATCCCAAGATGGCAGCGCCCAGCGGAAGAAGGAATGGCAGCGGCGGCGCGAACTTGTGGGTCTCGTTGCTCCTGGCGGCCGTGGCGCTGAGGCCGGTGGAGGCGGTGTCCGAGCCCACGACGGTGGCGTTTGACGTGCGGCCTGGCGGCGTGGTGCATTCTTTCTCCCAGAACGTGGGCCCTGGGGTACGTGCCTTAGACACCCCGGGGGCTTGAGGGATGGTGCTAGGCGGGGCATGGCCTGGGGAGGGGGTGCTGACCGGCGGGGGCGGGACCAGGAGGGCGGCCCCGGCAGGGGCAGGGCCTGAGGTTAGGGGGCGGGGCTTGGTAGGGAAGCTGGAATGAATGAAGAGGAGGCGAGGCTCCTGGGGGCTGGCTTCTTTGAGGGGGCTGGGTCACTAGCCTTAGTCCCTAACTCATCTCACTTGCCCATCGTGCCCAAGCAGCCCCATCCCTCAGACCCAAGTGTTGTTCTTCAGTCGCTCAGTTGTGTCCGAGTCTGCGACCCCATGGACTGCAACATGCCAGGTTTCCCTTTCCTGTACTATCTCCCGCAGTTTGCTCAAACTCTTGTCCGTTGAGTCAGTGATGCTATCCAACCATCTCGTCGTCTGTCGCCCCCTTCTCCTCCTGCATTCTGTCTTTCCCAGCATCAGGGTCTTTTCTAATGAGTTGGCTCTTCACATCAGGTGGCCAAAGTACTGGAGCTTCAGCTTCAGTATCAGTCATTCGTCCTTCCAGTGAGTATTCAGGGTTGATTTCCTTCAGGATTGTCTGGTTTAGACTCAAGTGAGCCCCTCCTTATTGGAGGGCAGGATGGGCCCAGAGGTGGGGAGAGGAGAGCTGGAAGCCCTGGGGCATATGCCTCCAGGCCCCACAGAAGGTCTTTCTGCCTCAGCTCTGACCAGGAAGGAAGTGGACAGATGTTGCTCTTTTCTTACATTGCACAAGGTCCCCCATCTTTTTCATTGAAATCTGAGGCCAGACCCTCCTTATCTAGAGGCAGCAGGCCTAGGTCTAGTCTAGCCCATCCTCAGCTTGTTGGAGAACTTGCTTCCTCTCCCAGTCCTGCTTTCCAGTCTAACAACGATATCAATAGTCAGTATTTGTTTATTACTTCCTTACAACCTGATATTGTGCCAGACTCTTTATATGAGGCCCATTTTCCAGGTGAAGAAACAGAAAGCTTTGCACTTGCCCAAGGCCCACAGCGGAGCAGAAATGGACCCCAGGTGTCCCTACTTCCGGATTTCATGTTCCTAAATGGGTGGGTGGTGGAGGGGATGTGATCTCCCCCTTCTAGAAGCCACATGGGTTGTTTGTCCAGAGCCAGGAGCTCCCCAAGTGGGGAGGCTGGTGGGGGAGTTCCAGGCCTCCAAGGATATTGGCCTCCAGGGACATCAGCCAGAAGGCTCTGACTCTGCCTCCTTCCTCTGAGTGTAGATACTCAGAAGCAGGATCTTCTTGATTCTGGATCTCAGAGGGACATTCTGAGACCCTGAACCTCCAGTGCTATCTACTATTGAGTTATCTGCTGAGACGTTTTCCCTTCAATTCTCTAGGACAGATATACCTGTGTGTTCACCTATGCATCTCAAGGAGGGACCAATGAGGTGAGTTGTTCAAAACTCCATGTAGTTTAGTACGACAGCATCCATTGTCATACAGACCTGCTCTCTAGAGGACACTGGACTATTCTTGCCTAAACAATAAAAGATAGTGCTCAAGTCCAATGGTGATGGCAGATTCTACTCATAATTCCATAGAGTGAATAGACATATGGATAGAAAGAGGGATGTGAGACCTGAATCTGCCATTCTCATGAGCCTCTGTGGGCAGTATTGTGTTCATCTTCTGTGCTGAGTAACACGGACTGAACAGCTTAAAACAGTGCCCAATTATGATCGCATCATTTTTTTTTTTCCCCAGTTATTTATTTTGGCTGCCCTGGGTCTTTGTTGGGGCATATGGGCTTCTCTAATTGTGGTGCATGGACTCTGGAGCATGAGGACTCAGTAGTTGTGGCACGAGGACTTGGTTACAGTATGTGAGATCTTAGTTCCCCAACCTGGGATGGAACCCAGGCTCCCTGCATTGGGAGCACAGTCTTATCCACTGGACCACAGAGGAAGTACATATCCCACGGTTCTGAATGTCAGAAGTCCCTGTCGGCTCAGCTGAATGCTTCAGAAAGCCAAGATCCAGGTGTCAGCCCGGCTGGGCTCTCACCTGCAGGCTCTGGGGAGAGCCCTCGTCCAGACTGATCCAAGTTGTTGGCAGAATTCCTTTCGGTGTGGGGACTAAGGTCCCCAGTTCCTTGCTGGCTGGTTTCTCCAGCTGATGGCAGAAGACAGAGTGAGAGAGATTGGAAGCATAAGACAGGCATATTGCACCAGAGCACCACAGCTGACTTTGAGGAGGTAGGATGTATGGCCTCTAGAAGCACAGAGCAGCCCTTGGCTGGTGGCAGGGAGATCAGGGCTTCAGCCCTCCAATCACAAGGAACTGAACCCCACCACAACCAGGTGAGTTAGAAGAGGACCCCAGTCTCCAGATCTCTAGGTGGGAATGCAGTCTGGCTTCCACTTTTATTTCATTTTTTTTTATTGACCATGCCATGCAGCATGTGGGATCTCAGTTCCCTGACCAGGGATCAAACCCGCATCCCCTGCATTGCAAGGCAGAGTCTTTACCACTGGACCACCAGGGAAACCCCTGGCTGACACTGATTTAGCTTGTGAGACTGGACAAAGGACCCAGCCCTGCCAGACTTCTGACCTACAGAGCTGTAAGCTAATGAATGGGCGTGCTTTTAAGCTACTAAATTTGTGGTAATTCTTCACATAATGTAGTGAGTTGAATGAGGTCCTCCAAAATAGATCTGTCCACATCCTACTTCCTAGAACCTGTGAATTTAGACAGTGTCTAAGTGTCCTTCAGTGTCTGCTGGAAGACAAAATTACCCCCAGGCGAAAGCCACTGGGCAAGGATGGTATGAAGTTGGGGCTTCCCTGGTGGTCCAGTGACTAAGACTCTGCGCTCCGAATGCAGGAGACCCAGGTTCAATCTCTTGTCAGGGAACTAGATCCCACAAGCTCCAACTAAGACCCAGCGCAGCCAAATAAATAAATAGATAATTAAAATAAAAGAGTGACGTGAAATCCACTTTCCTTATTTTGGATACATCCGATTTGTAAATAAAAGTAAATGACTCCCAGCAACAGTATTGTAATGAAATGTAGTAAACGCCTGGTGACACCCTTCCCAGTAGAACCAAGGGTTGTTGCAGCCCTTCCTCCTGCCACCAGGACCACGGGCATCCTGGGATTGTTCACCGCTCCCTCGGACACCTCCAGGCCTCACTGCTTCTCCAAGCAGTTCAGTCCACTGTGGGGTGGTGACAGGTGGTAGAACATTCTACCCCAGTCCATACCTCTTGGTAGAGCCATGCCCCAACTCGGGCTCCTGATTAGTCCCAAAGCACCTTCTCCTCCTCAGCGCATTCCCTGCCTCTTTGGTTGTGAAAGTGAAACTGTTAGTCAGTCAGTCATGTCTGACTCTTTGCTACCCCATGGACTGTAACCCGCTAGGATCCTCTGTCCATGGAATACTCCAGGCAAGAATACTGGCATGGGTTGCCGTTTCCTTCTCCAGGGCATCTTCCTGACCCAGGGAACGAAACCAGGTTTCCTGCATTGCAAGTGGATTCTTTACCATCCGAGCTACCATGGGAAGCCCATGGTTGTGTCCATGGTCAGTTCATCGGATAATAAAATCATGATATCCCCACCCACCTTGCAGTTTACCAGGCACCCCGAGCGGTGCTAAGCCAGGCACATATCATGTTTCATCTTCAGAACCCTGGGAGGCTGTCATTACCCCCACTTTGCACATGAGGACATGGCAGCCCCTGAGGCTGAGAACCCAGGTCCCCTCAACTGGAATGTGACTGAAGTCCCCAGGGTGCAGCCCTTTGACCACTACCCTGAGGCAGGACACAGCCTGCATCACCAGCAGTGCCTCCCTGACAGGATCCTGCGGGTGGACAGCTCTCAGGAGAGCCAGGCTCACTCCTGGGACAGCGGCTGTGTCACAAATTCTGAGCCAGCGACAGGCTCAGTTCTTCCATTTCGGATGAGGGAATTCTTCCCAAGGGAAACACCTCAGAGCAGACATGCCCAGCACGACCTGTTCCAGCAGCACCAGCCAGAACTATGATCATCAGAGACCATGCAGAGACGGGAACACGCCAGTGTGACCCACCGGCTCTCTGGCTGCTGGCCCACTGCCCCGTTGGCAGGAAACGGCCCACTGGATCCTCTGTATCCGCCTGTTAGAAATGAGAACTTAAGTCCGCACAAAGCTCGCACGTGACTGTTCAGAGCAGCATGATTTGTCATAGCCACAAGTGGAAGCCCCCCAAGTGTCCCTCAACAGGTGATGAGTGAACACAACGTGGTCCTTCTCACACAGGAGCATCACTCAGCAATGGAAAGGGGTGAGGCCCAGACACTCACTACCCCGTGGACAGATCCTGAGAACACGACGCTCAGTGAGAGAAACAGGCACAGAAGGGCACACGGGGTGTGATTCCACTGATGGGAAACGTCCGGAACAGGCCGATCCACAGACACAGTGGTTTCCTGGTTGTCAGGGCCTGGGGGAGAGAGTGAGGGTGACTGCTCATGGGTTTAGGACTTCTTTGGGGGATGGTGAGAATTAGGTAGGGGTTTCCTTTGTGGCTCAAACAGCAAAGAATCTGCCTGCAATGCAGGAGACCTGGGTTTGATCCCTGGGCAGGGAAGATCCCCGGGAAAAGGGAGTGGCTATACAGGTGATGGTTGCACAGCTCTGAAAGTACTAGGAAACACTGAAGTATGCAATTAAAAAGAGCATATTGTGTATTATATAAACTGTTTCTCAATAAAGGTATTAAAGGTAAGTGAGCTGTTGATGCACATGCAACCACTCAGATTAACCAGACTTGTGTTAGGCTGAGTGAGATTGACCAACTCAGGAGATCGCGGCTGTGATTCCACTCAGGTGGCATTGTGCAAAGGCACAACTATGAGGATAGAGCAGATCAGTGATTATTGGGAATTTGCAGGAAGGGACTGACTCCACAGGGATGGTGAATAGACAACTGCAGAGACAGAACTGATCTGTGTCACAGTTGGGTAACTCAGAACAGACACAGGGACTTCCCTGGTGGTCCTGGTTAAGACTTCGCCTTCCAATACAGGCGGTGAGTGTCCAATCCCTGGTTGGGGAACTAAGATCCCAGATGCCTCCTGACCAAAAAACCAAAACATAAAACAAAAGCAATATTGTAACAAATTCAATAAAGACTTTAAAAATGGCCTACATCAAAAAATCTTTAAAAAATACACAAATGGGTCCATTTCACCATCTGTTACTTATAAATATATTTTAATGAAAAACAATAGCAGTGACCATTTACGTGTATCACTTACACCCGGTCACTTAGATCGTGATCTCCCCAGCCTCCTGGAGAAGGTCACAGAGGCTCTGTCTGAACAGGCTGCCCCAAAACACACCTGAACAGGCTGCCCCAAAACACACCCTCATGTGAGTATCTGATGCCAAAATCTGAGCCTCACCAAGGGCGCCTACCGCCCACCCTAGCCTGCAGCCTCAAGACCACAGTCAAGTTCATTTAACAAACCACTCAGAGGGAGGTTGGCCATATTGCTAAGAAACTCTTGGTTTTAATTTAGTTTGCTTTCATAGTCTTAAAAAAAAAATGTTTAAAGATTTGCCTGTCATGGAACTTTTAAGAGCTATGGAAGACCATCCCAGATATATTTCACAGCATAAAACTGTGAGCCTTTGAAACTGTGGGCAGGAGTTTTTTTTTTTCTGTTTGTTTTGTTCAATTTTATTTTTTGGCTACACTGTGCAGCATGCGGGTTCTTAGTTCGCCGACCAGAGATCAAATCCACACCCCCTGCAGTAGAAGTGCAGAGTCTTAACCACTGGACCCCCAGAGAAGTCCCAGTAGTTTTTAAATAGAAAATAAATATATGGGTCCACTTGCCTTGCCTGCCCCACCTAAGTAATTGACTCTGGCCTTCATGCTGCAGGCAGAAAGCTTATAAGTGACCATTTACTCCCATCATAATTAACATAAAAACGGCCTTGTTTTTATTAGTGGAAAAGCTCTAGTGTTAAAACAGATTATCAGTGATTGGAGTCCATCTTTACTCTTTTGGAAAGACAAGACACTCTGATTTTACTAGCAAAGATCAGAAACACCTCAGGCCACCAGACCTTGCATTTGGCCAACTTTTTGGAGGCCCTGAAAATGAGAATAAACTGGTTTTGGAACTGTTTTGTTTTGAAACTGTTTTGGAACCATCATAAAGTATTATTATTAATTTTAAAAATGTTTTGGCCACACTGAGTGGGATGTGGGATCCTAATTCCCTGACCAGGGATCGAACCTGTGCCCCTGCAGTGGATGCACAAAGACCTAAGTACTGGTCCACCAGGCAAGTCCCTAAAGTATTATTTTCTTAATTTAATTTTTTAAAAAGCTAATACATGTCATTCAGAAAGAGAAAAGAAAAAAAAACATGAAAAGCTCTCCGGCACCTTCCATCTGCCCAGCCCCCACCCACATCCTGCATGTCACCATGGTTATCACAGCCTTGCATCTTCTCTAAGAACTGCTCTGCACTTACACAAGCAAGCATGAGCATACAGTCTTTCCTTCTTTTATTTTTGTTTTTATTTTTCCCAACGGACTTTATTTTTGACAGCAAAATTGAGCGGGAGGCACAGGGATTTCCTGTATCCCCATTCCCCTCACCCATCATCCCTGATCAGAGTGCAGCCACTTGGATTTGTGATGGCCCGTGACCCTGCACTGACACATCAGCACCCCAAGTCCAGAGTTGACATCGGGGTTCATTCCCGGTGCGCTGCGGGCTGTGTACATGATGGTGAGGCTGCGTGTCCTAGGTTGACCTGTCTGTCCTCTCTCCCCAGAAGTGGCAGATGAGTCTGGGGACCAGCGAAGACCACCAGCACTTTACCTGCACCATCTGGAGGTAAGCCAGGGTCCTGGGGTGGGATCTCCCTCTCTTCAGATGAGGCACCTTGCTCTAGGCGGCCCACAGAGTCCTGCTACCCTCGGGGATGGGGAGAGCTCCCTGGGAGGGCTCCCCAGGAGATCACATTGACACTGAGGCCAAGATGGGGTTGGGGGGGTGGGGGGCAGGAGCGTTCAGGCAGAGGCCGCAGTCCCGGGAAAGGGGCCGGGCTCCCCAGACACTGCCCCCTTCTTCATCACCCTCAGTTACATTCATCATTCAAGGGCTTAACCTCCCGCCCTGGGGCTGACACCACGCCCACCCTTCTCGTAACCCCTTGGCCTGGAGCCCAGCTCGAGGAGCCTGAGAAGGAGGCGCTCAGCCCCCTGATGGGGAGGAGGGTTTGCAGTGTCATTGGATCCTGGCCCTTCTCCTCTGGGCCCCATGGCCTGAAATGGATCGCCCGAGCAGAACTGATTTTTTTTTTTTTTTAATTTAGCTGTGTTGGGTCTTAGTTTCTGCATGTAGGATCTTTGTTACGGTACGGGGGCTTCTCTTGTGGCACACAGGCTCAGTAGTTGCATGACGGCTCAGTTGCTCCATGGAATGTGGGATCGAACCGGCATCCCCTGCATTGGCGGGTGGATTCTTAATCACTGGACTTCCAGAGAGGTCCCACAGAACCCATTTCTCAAGCATCGACACGTGTCCGACACAGCAGAATTCCCAGCCACGCTCTCACCCTCAGGGACCGGGGTCAATGCAGAAATGGGATACGATAGAGAACAGGGAGGGTGACATTTAATCTAAGAAAATGTGTGCTGGCCTGAGTGCACAGTCCCCGTCTCCTGCGAGGCACCTTACAGCAGTAGTACCCCACGCCAGGGAACCAAGTAGTGTGAGGGTGGGAGCCCCATGTCCTCAACGTGCCACCACTAGCCCTGTTGAGAGCCTGTCTGTGCCCCTTCCTGGCCTCAGAGGAAAGCATCTAGAGGAGAGGAGCCAGGGTGGGGCCCCCTCATTACAGGTTAGTCATCCAAGCTGCATCCCCCTGCCTGTAGACCATCATCTCACATGGGCTTGGGAGTGCCAGCCCTCCAGGTGGGCACAGACTTGGGCCACACAGGCCCAGAGCAGGGTCCTCACCCTGCCGCCTCTTAGCTGACCCACCCAGCAGCACCCCCTTAGAGACACACTCAGCTGTAGGCACCCTCCTCTGCTACCTAGGTAACTGCTGTACTTCTCACCCTCTGGGGATGTCCTGCCCCACCCCACTGCAAACCTGGGATGTTGTCCAGAGTATAAGAAGTGTTCAGCAAATGGACGCAAGTGTTCCTGTCCTCAAACAGTTCCCATGCAGAAAGGGAAGAGGCTTGTCCACCGTGGAGCTGGAAGAATGTTCTGGCAAAGAGCAGATCATGTTGAGGGCACCCAGTCTGTCCTTCCCAAAAATGGAATCCCCAAGTAGATTCTTAGGGTATGGAGGACACGTAGCCACAGGCTGATCTGTCTCCCGACCTTTCTTTGCAGGCCCCAGGGCAAGTCCTACCTGTACTTCACACAGTTCAAGGCAGAGGTGCGGGGCGCCGAGATCGAGTACGGCATGGCCTACGTGAGTGTCGCCCAGACTGGGGGCTGCCTGGCTGGCCCCCCATGGACTGTGCCTTGAAGACCCCCAGGTTGGGGGTGGGGAGGTGGCAATAATGAGGAGATGGATACCAAGCCCTTAGAAGGAGGCCTGGGGGTCGAAGGTTGCAGTACCCAGAGGGGATCCCAGTTGGCCCCTAGAGATTGGTCTTCCTCCAGTAAGGCTTTACCAGCCTCCCACTTATGTCCCCTGCTGGCCAAGCTGGCAGGAAGCCAGGAGGCAGGGGGCTCAGCCCTGGGGATGGGGCGGAAGTGGGCCCAGGGGGCAGGCTCACTGGTGTTGGGAGGGCCCCACATCCTTTGGCGCCAGTGACCTGTGGTTCACAGCTCAGCCAGCAACTTCCGCCATGCTCCTGACCCCCACAACCCCCTTCAGAGCCCGGCCACTCTGCAGAGCCCATGCCTGCTTCTGCATCTGAGTCAGGAATGGTGTGAAAACTACTTTATCAGCCCAAGAAGCAGAACCAACAAGAGACAGACATGAGAGATTCACTGTAGGAACTAGCTTCCACTGTGGGGGCCTGGCTGTTGGCGGGATTTCGTCCAGGGAAGCCTCAGCTCTTCCCCTAGGCATCCCCAGGTCATCAAGGACCATCTCTTTGACTTAAAATCAGCTCAGGCCGAACCTCTGTCACAGCAGTGGCCCCCCAGCAGCCCCCACCAGGGTCTGATTGCCTAACGCTACCATGGCTCCTCCCACTTGACACATCAGACTGACCATCAGTCTGTTAACTCATCACTCTCTTGGGTCTCTTACTTTGCATGCATTCATGCTCCATCGCTCAGTCATGTCCACATCTTTTGGAACCCCATGGACTGTAGCCTGCCAAGCCCCTCTGTCCATGAGGAGTCTCCAAGCAAGAATACTGGAGTGAGTTGCCATGCCCTCCTCCAGGGGATCTTCCTGACTCAGGGAATTGAACCCACATCTCTTACCTCTCCTGCATTGGCAGGTGGAATCTTTACCCCTGCGCCACCTGGGAAACGCCACTTCTTAAAGAACAGGAGCCTGGCAGGCTACAGTCTATGGGGTCGCAAGAGTCAGACACGACTTAGCGACCAAACTACAACCACAAAATTGTGTCTAAAGTAATCTATTCTTACTGTAAAACTCTTACTGTAAAACTCCATTACTCTAACTGATCTGAGAAAGACACAGTTCTGATTTTTAAAAATTACATTCAAGAGACTGCAATGCTTGTATGCCATTTCCATACATCAGCTAAAGGGAGAAACTGAATTAGATGCCTCCCTCCTCGGATTTGCAGCAAGGCATGAGGTTTGAAGCCAGCTGACGATCTCGTAAGTGGATTAACCCGCTACTTCCACCGGGTTCTCTTTTCTGTGCTTAAAAAAGCATCTCGAGTCTGTCTTCTCTATTGCTCCAGGAAGCAAACTGAGCCATGTTCTTTCCTGATTAGAAAAGTTTCCACTTGTTCCCTTTCAGTCGAAAGCTGCTTTTGAGAAAGAGAGCGACGTTCCCCTGAAAAATGAGGAGTTTGAGGTGACCAAAACAGCAGGTAGGTGGAGGAGTTTGTGGAGCTGGAACCCAGTTTCTCCAGCAGGGAAGGTGAGAGAGGGGACAAGACCCCCATGAGGGGTCGATCCAGGGGCCACTGGTGAGAGGAGGCCACTATCCTTCCTGTAAAAAGGGCCATCTGGTAAATATTTTCGGCTTTAGGGGCAGACACCCCCTCTGAAATAACTCGGCCTGCCCCCGCAGGGCCAAGGCAGGCATGAACCACTCATCAGTGCATGTGGTGGCTGCATGCTAATGAGACCTTGTTCTGTGAACACTGACATGTGAATGTCATACTACATTCCCGTATCACAAGATGCCGTTTTCCCTTTGATTTCTGTTTATAAACGTAGAAGCCACTTTTTGCTTACAGGCGGCAGGCACACTTGGCCTGTCCCTTGCAGAGAATAGAGGGTGTGAAAGTCTGCTCAGTTCCACAGTGGGGTGTGGGGGAGGGGGTGTCCTGGGCCCTGTGACAGGTTCAGGCATCGAAAAGTTGGGACCTTGTGTGTGCCATGTGATGGGAGAGGCAGGGGGTCACGTCCTGAGGCTCCGAGACCCCTGTGGCCTCTGACCCCTGTTCAGCTACAGCCATGCAGGCCAAATGCAGAGCAGAAAGAGTAGGTGCTAGAGTTGGGGCTCAGAAGGATGAGAGCAATGGGGGATGAGTGAGTGAGACAGTGGATGTGGAGTTGAGCTGAGTCAGGGAGCCTGAGAATCCTGAGGGACAGGGGAGAAGTAAGATAAGGAACCCATGTGGCCATGGGTGTCACCAGGCACCAAAGTGGAAAGTGGGAGGGGAGGGAAGGTGGTAGTGTGATTGGGGGTTTTAGGAGGGCCTGGAAGGAGGCCCGCCCTGCCCTCAGGTCCTCCAGGTCAAGGGCCTCTTCTGAGTGTAGATCAAGGACAGGGGGGCCTAGGATGCTGGCAGACCCTGAGCCCCAGGGAGTGCCATGGGGAGGATAGACAGGGAGTGGGAGACAGGCTGGGGCTGCAGAGCAGGGCACGGCCAGACAAGTTTGCCAGGGCAAACCTCCGACCCTCCGCTATTCTCAGCGTGGCAGAAGCGATTACAGGTCTTCCCACCTCAGCCTCTCCCATGGCCTCTCGTTGCCCTCCAGACAGGCCCTCGACTTCCCCACCTTTCCCCTGTCCATCACCCATAAGCCTCTCAGGGCCAGGAGCTTTTCCTTACGGAGTCCACTTGGAGGCCCCTCCCCTGCCCTGCCCCCATCGTTGCCCCCACCTCACCCCCCAACTCAGGACCCAGAGGTCTTACAGAGGCGAGCACCAACCCAGGGTCTCTTCCTTTGCAGTGTCCCACAGGCCTGGGGCCTTCAAGGCTGAGCTGTCCAAGCTGGTGATTGTGGCCAAGGCAACACGCAGCGAACTGTGACCTGAAGCCCCTCTGAGGGCGGCTCCTCTCCATGCAAGGTGCTGGACCCCAAGAAGGCCCAGTACTTGTTTTCTAGGTGGGGGTCTCTTGGTTTTCTGTCCCAGCTGATGTTGCCCCATTTGGAGGACAGCTAAGGCCCCAGAATGGAGTTTGGAGGGCTAGGACTCACCTGGCTCCCACCTTCCCTCACCCCGAAGATTGTGGGTCCAAGACCCACAGCTCTTCTCATCAGAAGAGGCATCAGGACACATGGTGGGGGGTCAGGGGGGGCGTCTCCCGGAATCATGGCTTTTCTGAAGCCAGGGCATCCCCTCCTCCCCGCTGGGATCAGGCCAGGCTCCAGGATGTTCTGCAGGGGAGCCCCCCGCCGCCTGTGATCCCACACCAGCCACCTTCTCACTCCCCAGGGGACCAACTTTCAGACTGGGCAGAAATGAAATGTTCTTTCATATTTAAATAAATAAGACAACTAAAAAGCACCCACAGTCTTGGCGTCCGGCGCTGGTACCCCCCCACTGACGGGGCTTGCAGGGCTGGGGTCCCCTACTTTGCTGCTGAAGACGGGCAAACTGAGTCACCCCCGGGCAGAGGGAACCTCCTGGCAGGACTTTCCTGCAGGCGCAGACGTGCCGGACCCGAGGCAGCCTCAACAAGGCTCACATGGCCTCACCTGTGGGGCCACTCCTAGCCGAAGGGGAACGCACTGGGGAAGCCTGGCTCTTTTTATTTTTGGCATGGCATGTGGGATCTTACTTTCCCAACCAGGGATTGAACCAGCGTCCCCTGCTTTGGATGTGTGGAGTCTTAACCACTGGACCACCAGGGAAGTTCCCAGACCAACTGTTCTGCACTCTATAGTTGGCTCTGCTAATTTTTTTGAAGCTGGATTGCAAACTCGGTAACTTAAAAAAAATAATGAATCACCCACAGGCAAACAAAAATAAATAAATGAAATCCCCAAATGCCTCAGCCAGCCCTAGCAGCAGGGCCTGGGAGTCTGACCCCCAGTGGACTGTCTGCCTGGCCTCTGACCGGGAGGAAAGAAACCTGTGGCTATGAATCGGGTCCTTGATGATCAGAATCACCACATTGGGCTGGCTGAGGCCTCTCTGTGTCTGTCACTCACCTGGCCCGCCCCTCGTGCGATCAAGGAGTAAGGTGCTGCTGGGACCCCGCCAGCCAGAGAAGAAGCTGGATGACCAAGGGCATGGGGTCCAGCCCCAGGGGTCCAGCGCTACTGGTGTAGGAGCCATTCCAAGGAAGGCGCAAGCAAGAAAAACAGCTGTGCTCAGAACCAGTAATACCTGATAGGGACCTTGGGCCCACAGGACTTGAGGAAAGAACCAGCAGCCTCAGCGATCAAGTGCACACGACCTGTGCCTCTTCAGGAGCAGCTCTTTTTTTGTTCAGTTGCTCAGTTATGTCCGACTCCATGTTCCACAGCATGACAGGCTTCCCTGTCCTTCACCATCTCCTGGAGCTTGTTCAAACTCCCGTCCGTTGATTTGGTGATGCCATTCAACCATCTTGTCCTCTGTCCTGTCGCCCCCTGGACAGCACACAAGTCCAGAGCAGCTCTGGACACACACATGTCCTAGGGGACGCTCACTACACCGAGCATGGCAACCTGCAGGTCTCAACAGGGCCCAGGAGATGCTTGCCCGGGGCTGCCTGCAGAAACTAGGCAGCGGGACACAGGCAGAGGCAGTGGTGCTCCCTGGGCCCTGAGCTGCGTGAGGGCTAGACCCCAGCCAAGAGGAATATTGATTTTTGTATGGTCAGTTGGGAATCACTTACCACTTCCACATCCTGAGCGCTGGCAGAGATGCAGAGTGGTGGGCGTGATGTGGAGGGTCAGGGCAGAGCATCTCTGGACACAAAGAAGCCTCCCCTTTACCCCAAGGGCCTGGTGAGCAGAGCCGCCCGGCCCCAGGTCACGATGAGGAGCAGGACCGAGCTACCTCTGGGCTGCCAAAGCCAAGCTCTGCCACCGCTGCTAGGCTGTCATCAAGCTCAGCAGGAATAAAGCCTGCCAGCAGGCTGCAAACCTATAACATTTGTGTGCAACCTGGAGTTGTTTTCTTTTTTTATTTTGGCTGTGCTGTGTCTTCGTTGCCATGCTCAAGCTTAAGTTGCCCCGAAGCAGGTGGGATCTTAGTTCCTGGACCGCGGATGGAGGCTGTGTCCCCTGCATTGGAAGGCAGATTCTCAACCACTGGACCACCAGGGAAGACCCCAACCTTGATTTTTAATAGGTAGAAACCCTGGGCAGGTGAGAAAAAGCTATAAGATGCTTTTATTTACATAGTTCTCTTTGGTTCTTTTTTTTAAAATTCATTTTATTTATTTGCCTGCACCAGGTCTTTGTTGTGGCATGTGGGATCTAGTACCCTGACCAGGGATTGAACCCGGGCCCCCTGCATTGGAAGCGTGGAGTCTTAGCCACTGGACCACCAGGGAAGTTCCGGTCCTTTTTTTTTTTTTTCTAAATTAAATCTCAAATGTATGAAAAGAGTCAAGACAACAAGTCCAAAGCCTTGTCACATGAATGTCCTTCAGCCAGCAGAGCAGAGGGCAAAGGATTTCATCTGGGGCTTCTCGGTATAATCAAAATACACGTTTGTTCTTGAATTGGAGGATCTGTCTCTTGGCACACAAGAAGAGGGGAAGTTTGCTTTGGAAGTGGAGAGTAGGGGAACAGCTGACTATTGGGTGGAAGCCTTTGGCTTTTTCAAGGCAGCTGAAACCAAACAGAAATGCTGCCCTGGATCTGAGGTCCTAATCTACCAGCCAGCCCAGCATGCCATGGAGAGGCCAAAGGGAGTGGTGAGGACTGTGGCGGAGCAAAGACGGGCCACCTCTGCAGCTTCACCAGTGGGCAGTCAGGTAGGTTTTCTAGAGTTTTCATGATCTATTGATAGATTGGGACATGCAATCTCCTTGGTTTCAGGTGTTGGCAACTAATTGCAAATGTTTCAAACACTGAATGAGGCTAAGCAAACCCATCGTCTCACCTAATATGGCCTGCGGACCTCCTGTTGGCAACGTTTCCCCTAAACAGACCAGGTTCCACAGAAATGGAACCCTCCCCCCAGGGTGCTCAAAACAACCTGACACAGTCAGACCTGCAGCGGGGTTTTGCAATCTTTTAAAACCTATGCCCACTTCTGACCAACAAATTACAAATACACCCCCCCACACCCCCACGTGTCCATCCATGCCCCAAGTTAAGCATTGTCCCACCTGCCGGGTGTTGCCAAAGCCAAGGTTTGTTGAGCTTTGTCTCTGAGGCCTGTCTTATAAAAACAAGTGTTTATGTGTATTTGTTTCCCAAATATGAAATGATCCTTTAAAAACAGGCATGTGTCTAAGATGGCTTTCCCCACGGCCTCCCATCAGAGGTGCACTCCGACCCCTCCCTCCTGGGGGTCAGGGCCACGATGCCAAGCAGACAGAGGGGCATCCTCGCCAGTAGGCCTGAGCCCACCACAGCTCTCACCGCGGCTCCCTGGCCTTGTTTCCTGAGGTGTGGAGCAAAGTGCCCAGCCTGGGAGGCTGAGACAACGGCAGCTTGTTTGCTCAGCTCGGAAGGCCCAACATCAAGGTGTGGGCCGGGCCGGTGTCCCAGGCTCTCTCCCAGCTTCTGGTGCTGGCTTTCAGCTCTTGGCATTCCTTGTCTTGTAGATACATCTGCCCAGTCTCTGCCTCCACCTTCACATAGCATTCTCCCTCTGAGCCTGTCTCCACATGTCCCCTTCTCAAAAGGACCCAGTCACGTGGATTAGGGGCCGCCCAGCTCCAATATGAACTCATTGCAACCAATCACATCAGCAATCACCCTATTTTCAGATCAGGTCATATTCACAGGTCCCAGGGGTTAGGACTTCCATCTGGGAAATGGGAGGTGGGGTAGGGTGAGACAACTCACTCTGTAACACCCCCTCCTGGTTCCCTGTGACCCTCTCTGCGGGAATGAAAAAGCCCAAGCAACACTGAAGTGAGAAGCCCCCAGCTGTCAGAGACACCCAGTGATTTGAGGGGTACAGACAGTGGCTCAAGGGGCATTGTTCAGATGGTGCCACAGCAGGCAGAGGTCTCCAGGTGCCTGGGGGAGGCCGCAGGCACAGGCAGACTGAGCCGGGCTCCGAGCCCGGTGAGATTGGGCCCGAGGACAGGGGACCCAGGTCCTTGGAGCTGCAGTCACCTGTGTGTATGTGTTGGAGGAGGGGTGATTGGCCAGAGTCAGACAGGAAGGAAAGGGTTAGCTCCGCCCCACTTCGAGTCCTGCCCCTCCCCGCAGGCAACCGCAGCGGGGTCGGAGGTCATCATATGCTGTCCTCATCCAGCATCCGGGTGAGGCCGTCGCAGATCCGGCGCAGGTGGGAGCGGTAGGGCTCCACGGGGCTGTAGAGCGCCGCCAGGAAGTCGCAGTCGGCCAGGTGGCCGAACACGTGGTTGATGCGGCCGTGGGACTTGGCGGTTAGGTGCGTGCCGGCCGCCTGGTGCAGCAGGTCCCGGCACTCAAGCAGGGTGGCGGCCAGCACGCGCCTGTCGAAGGTGAAGTCCACCTGGTGGAAGCTGACAGCGGTCATGGCCAGGCGGCGCGCCTGCTGCCGCAAGCGCTGTAGCCGCGCCAGCTCCTCGGAGCCCAGCTGCCCGGCGCGCAGCAGAACGCCCAGCTTCACTGCCACCTTGACCAGGTTCTTGACCAGCTTCTGGGCCTCCTTGCGGCTGCGGGTGAACTCCTTGGTGGCACGGTACAGCTCGTCCAGCACCTCGCTGCTGGTGTCGTCGATGAAGGCGGACGCCACTGCCCGGGAGGCCATCTTGCTCAGGAGCTTCTTCTGGGCCTGGAGGGCCAGGCTCTTGGTGCTGAAGGTGTCCATCTGTCCTGTGGGGGGAGACACACAGACCCGCCGTCAGCCCGCGGTGCCCAGCTGTGGGGGCCTTGCAGGGGCGGGCGGCTAATGCTGGCGACCTCTGTCTTCCGCATGGGAGAAATGGGCACGCACGCCACCAGCCTATCCCCAGGGGAGCCCATGTGCCCACTCCACAGACGTACTGGGTGCGCAGAGCTGAGCTCGAGACCCTTCCACCCCCACCCCCAGCCCCCCTCCACCAAACAGCAAGTGCCGCCATTGGAGATGCTGCAAGAGCCCTTAGCAGGGACTCCCGAGCAGATCAAGAAGGCCCAGGAAGGCCCTGGACAAGAGGACAGGTAACAAGATGGGGAGGGAATCATGGGCTCCAAGGCCTAGGGAAGGGAAGTTCAGAGTTGTTGGAGGACCTGATGCAGAAACTTATGAACAAATAGCAAAACCTATTTTTAGGAAAAGCTTGTAAAAACAAACAACATTCACACTGAAGATATGATGGGACCTAAGGGAATTTGTTTCTTAAAGGAATTAATGTGTAGTGGTGAAATCTGGGCAGGGCCTTCTGTTATGGTTTATTACAGAATATAGATCCCTGTGTTATAACCTAGGACCTGTGGTTTAGCCATTTCTGTAAACAATACTTTGTACCTGCTAATCCCAAACTCCCAACTAATCCCAGACTTGCAACTGCAAGTCTGTTGTCTATGTCTTTATTTTTGGCTGTTGTGGGTCTTTGTTGCTGTGTGGGCTTTCTCTAGTTGTAGAAGGTGGGGGCTACTCTCTAGTTTTGGATCGAGGACTTCTCATTGTGGTGGCTTCTCTCCTTTCTGAGCTTGGGCTCTAGGCGCAGAGGCTTCAGTAGTTGTGACGGACAGGCTTAGTTGTTCTGTGGCATGTGGGATCTTCCAAGATCAGGTATTGAACCTGCGTCTCCTGCATTGGCAGGCAGATTCTTAAACTGCGCCACCAGGGAAGTCCTGTTCTCTATGTCTGTGGGTCTGTTTCTGTTTCATTCAGTTCGGTTCAGTCGCTCACTTATGTCCGATCTTTGCAGCCCCATGGACTGCAGCACTGCCAGGCTTCCCTGTCCATCACCAACTCCCAGAGCTTGCTCAGACTCTTGTCCATCGAGTTGATGATGCCATCCAACCATCTCATCCTCTGTCATCCCCTTCTCCTGTTCAATCTTTCCCAGCATCAGGGTCTTTTCCAGTGAGTCAGTTCTTGCAACAGGTGGCCAAAGTACTGGAGCTTCAGCTTCAGCATCAGTCCTTCCAAAGAATATTCAGGACTGATTTCCTTTAGGATGGACTGGTTGGATCTTCTTGCAGTCCAAGGGACTCTCAAGAGTTTTCTCCAACACCACAGTTCAAAAGGCGCTCAGCTTTCTTTATAGTCCAACTCTCACATCCACACATGACCACTGGAAAAACCATAGCTTTGACTAGACAGATCTTTGTTGGCAAAGTAATGTCTCTGCTTTTTAATATGCTGTCTAGGTTGGTCATAGGTTTTCTTCCAAGGAGCAAGCATCTTTTAATTTCATGGCTGCAGTCGCTATCTGGAGTGATTTTGGAGTCCCCAAAATAAACTCTGTCACTGTTTCCATGTTCCCCATCTATTTGCCATGAAGTGATGGGACTAGATGCCATGATCTTAGTTTTCTGAATGTTGAGTTTTAAGCCAGCTTTTTCACTCTTCTCTTTCATTTTCATCAAGAGGCTCTTGAATTCTTCACTTTCTGCCATAATGGTGGTGTTATCTGCATATCTAAGGTTATTGATATTTCTCCTGGTGATCTTGATTCCAACTTGTGCTTCATCCAGCCCAGCATTTCGCATGATATGCTCTGCATATAAGTTAAATAAGCAGGGTGACAATATACAGCCTTAACGTATTCCTTTCCTGATTTGGAACCAGTCTGTTGTTCCATGTCCAGTTCTACCTGATGCTTTTTGACCTGCATACAGATTTCTCAGGAGGCAGGTAAAGTGGTCTGGTGTTCCCATCTCCTGAAGAATTTTCCAGTTTGTTGTGATCCACACAGTCAAAGGCTTTGGCATAGTCAATAAAGCAGTAGTAGATGTTTTTCTGGAACTCTCTTGCTTTTTCGATGATCCAGTGGTTGTTGGCAATTTGATCTCTGGTTCCTCTGCTTTTTCTAAATCCAGCTTGAAGTTCACAGTTCACATACTGTTGAAGCCTGGCTTGGAGAATTTTGAGCATTTCTTTACTAGCGTGTGAGATGAGTGCAATTGTGTGGTAGTTTGAGCATTCTTTGGCATTGCCTTTCTTTGGGATTGCAATGAAAACTGACCTTTTCCAGTCCTGTGACCACTGCTGAGTTTTCCAAATTTGCTGGCATATTGAGTGCAGCGCTTTCATAGCATCATCTTTCAGGATTTGAAATAGCTCAACTGGAATTCCATCACCTCCACTAGCTTTGTTTGTAATGATGCTTCCTAAGTCCCACTTGACTTCGCATTCCAGGATGTCTGGCTCTAGGTGAGTGATCACACCATCATGGTTATCTGGGTCATAAAGATCTTTTTTGTATAGCTCTCTTGTGTATTCTTGCCACCTCTTCTTAATATCTTCTGCTTCTGTTAGGTCCATACCAGATCTGTCCTTTTTTGTGCCCATCTTTGCATGAAATGTTCCCTTGGTATCTCTAAATGTTCCTTTGGTATCTCTGTTTCGTAGATAAGTTCATTTGTGCCATACTTTAGGTTCCACATATAAGTGATATCATATATGGTATTTGTCTTTCTCTGACTTAGTCCTCTTAGTATGAGAATCTCTGGATCCGTCCATGTTGTTGCATATGGCATTATTTCATTCTTTCTATGGCTGAGTGGTAGTCCATTATATATATATATACACCACATCTTTATCCACTCATCTGTTGATGGACATTTAGGTTGCTCCCATGTCCTGGCTATTGTAAATAGTGCTGCTATGAACATAGGAGTGCACGTATCTTTCTGAGTTATAGTTTTGTCCAGGTATATGCCCAGGAGTGGGATTGCTAGATCATCTGGCAGTGCTCTTTTTAGGTTTTTGAGGACCCTGCATACTGTTCTCCATAGTGACTGCACCAATTTCCATTTCTACTAATAGTATGGAAGGGTTCCCTTTTCTCCACACCCTGTCCAGCATTTGTTATTTATAGACTTTTTAACGATGGCCATTATAAGAGGATGACAGAGGATGAGTTGGTTGGATGGCACCACCGACTCAATGGACATGAGTTTGAGTAAGCTCTGGGAGTTGGTGATGGACAGCACTGGCGTGCTGCAGTCTATGGGGTCACCAAGAATTGGACACGACTGAGCAACTGAACTGAACTAAGAGGTGTGGGGTGATACCTCACTGTAGTTTTGATTTGCATTTCTCTTCTATTAGCGATGTTGAGCATCTTTTCTTGTGCCTATTGGCCATCTGTATGTCTTTGAAGAAATGTCTATTTAGGTCTGTCCATTTTCTGATTGGGATGTTTGTTTTTTCTGTTACTGAGTTGTATGAACTGACTATATATTTTGGATATTAATGAGTAGGGCTTTCTGAATCCCACTATGTGTGGGCCCTGGCTCCAGCCTCGCAAACCCACTGTAGCCTTGCTCTGATCTGAGAAGGGCTCAGGCTGCGTGAGCACAGGGGGTCCTGGCCTCACTCCACAGCTCCAGGAGACAGGGTCCCAGCCCCCGCCTCAGGCTGTTCAGGGTGGGGGAGGAGTGCAGTTAGCAGCCCCCCATCTCCCCAGCCCCGTGAGTTTACAGCAGACACCCCTGAGGCCTTAGTCAGGCCCTAGATGAGTCAGGGGGGCAGCAGCTGGGTGGGGGTTCCCCAGGGCCATTTGTGGGGTTTTGGGAAGCACAGTGTTCTGATGACTCCTCTGATACAGAAACACTGACACGCATCAGCTTCCGCCCAGGAAAGGACCGGGCAGGTGGCCGAGGTGAGTGGCAGGCTGGTGCTCTTGGAACAGCAACCACGCCTCCGACTGCAGAAGCCTGGACCTCTGCCTGTCCCTTATGTCCTTCCTGCCATGGCCGTCTTCCAGATTTCCCAGGCTCTGAAGCCTCCCCCTCAGCACCAGAATTCTTCCTAAACTGCACATCTGGGCATAGTCCTTTCCTTCTAAGAACCAGCTGGAAGCTCCTCATGGCTCTTGAGACCAAGCCCCACACTCCATTTGGGTCCCTGCCTCTTCCCTGGTGAACTCCTATACATCCCTCAATACCTTAGCCCCCAAACCCCTGCCTCTTCCTTGGCGGACTCATATATATGCCCCAAAGCCCTGGCCTCCAAGCCCCTGCCTCTTCCCCTGGCAGCCTCATCCCTCAGCTCAGCCTGAACACCACCTCTGGGAAGCCATCCCTGAACAGCCAAACTGACAGTGAGGCACCTCCTATGAGTCACCCAGCACCCCAGACATCCCCCATCCCTGCTCCACACTCTGGCTTTGCTGCCTCAGTGGTCTGCGTCACCACAGGCCCCAGGGAGATAATGGCCTGATTCCCTATCCACTCTGTTTCTGGAGACTCCAGAAGCATCTGCCCAATGAATGAGGAGCCTGAGGCCCACCCCCAGCCCTCCCCCACTGCTGCCCCAGGCTCTAGTCAGAATCCACCGCCACCCCAGCTGCGGGCCAGCCAGACTAGGAATGCCATGTGGGTGCCCAATCAGCCATGGGAGCCCCCACAAAGTCCCTCTTTGTGTGAGCTCAGACGCTGGGAGGAGTCCCAACCCTCAGCCGCCCTCTTGCTGCCCACAGAGGTCAGGACAGGCCTGGTGATGAATGACCCGGGCCTCCCTGCCCCCTACACCAGTCCCAGACCCTGTCCACAGGCTGGGGCCAGAGCGGGGTACGGGTGACTCAGCATCACATGGCAGGCCCTGAGCAGTGGCCGGTGCCTATTTCATCACTTCTGCCTGATGTTGTACTGAGCTGGCTGCCCATTTGCAGAATGGCTCAGACCAGGCTCAGAGAGGCTTAGCCATTTCCCCAAGGCCACACAGCAATACAGGGACCGCCTGCCCCACCCTCTCTGCACCCCAGCTACCTCTGCCTACCCTAGTTGATGCCTGGGAGTCGCCCTCAGTCTTGGGGGGCTGGGAGATATCCCCCGTGACAAAACCAGCCCTGATATCTGGGGATTGCTCCTGGCTCTGACCACATGGCCAAACAACATAACTGCCCTATGCCTCAGTTTCCCCATCTGTAAAATGGAGGATGGTGACTGTCAAGATGGAGAACTGACTCCATCTCAGGACAGAAACTTGTGGCCAACCTGAGGGCCCCCCAGGCTGTGAGATTTCCCTGTGCAAGAGGCTGGACCACTGTCCCGATTTCTGACCTTCAGGCTCTGTGTCCTGTAGCTCTCTGAACAGACCTATTTCTCCGCTATGTTCTCAGCAAGGATGCCTTCTCACCAATTTCTCTAGAACATTCTATTCTTTATTTTTCTTTTCGGTCACACTAGGTGGCATATGGGATCTTAGTTTCCCAACCTGGATCAAATCCATACCCCCTGCATTGGAAGCACAGAGTCTTAACCACTGGACCGCCAGGGAAGTCCCTAGGGCATTCTATTCTGTTCCCTCTATGTGGACCCCTCCTGGTCTCATCACCTGTAAACTCCTGCTCCTCATTCAAGTCTCAGAGTGACTGTCACCTCCTCCCGGAAGACTTCCGGATGTCCCAGGCTGTGCCGGGTGCCCCCGTGGCTCCCATGGTTCCCCGGCGTCTGTCCTCCATTGCAGTCCTGAGCACTTGGTTTCAGTGTCCGTCACACCAGGCCTGACGGCGTGGGCAGGGGCTGTATTGTTTCTTGCTCTGGTGGCCAGCCTGGGGCCTGGTACTCAGCAGGCACCCAGTGTTTGTGAATGAATAAGGGGGGGATGTCTGCAGACATTGAAACCCGGAGGGAACTCCCAACACCCTGGGTCCCCCAGTTTACAGATGGACAAACTGAGTCTCAGAGCGAGGAGAAGGCCTTTCCCTTGATCCCAAGAACCCTGGCGCTCAGGTCTTTCTGCCCTGTTCCGTTACTGTGTGGCCCCAGGCAGGGCTCTGCCCCTCTCTGGGCCTTGACCTTCCCGTCTGCAAGTCCTGAGCTTGTGCGTGTTGGTTCAGAGGGGAGGCTGGTCCTATTTACTGGCTTCAGGAAGAGCCTGGGCCCACAGTAGCAGCGCTGCCCGACCCCATCCTGCCAAGCATAGGAGGAAGAGGGGTGGGGGTGGAGTGGGAGACTCCACACACTTAGCCCCTCGGGCCAGTCCCCAGATCTGTGACACCTGGACTAGCCCAGCTGCACGGTGGCCCACCCCCTTTCTCCTCCGTCCATTGTTCTGTCAGAAACGCGCCCCCCTCCGAACAGCCAGACGGGGAGATGACTGCTTTCCCAGGGGAGCACTCTGGGGACCAAAATAGACCCCAGCCTTCCTTCCTGCCAGCTGTGCTCATCCAGGTCCAAGGGTAGGCCAGCGGGAGGGGCCTGGCGGGGGCAGGGCCTTCCCAGGGACTGCCCAGCGGACCCAAGGCCAGATCACCCCACTATCGTCACGAGCCAGAAATGCCCGATGAAGCTTCCAGGGCTCGGCTGGGACGCTCACTCAGGTCCTCAATGAGCGTTTATAGAACACCAGCTGTGTCTCAGGGCTGGGAATATGTGTGTGCTAAGTCGCTTCAGTCGTGTCTGACTCTTTGTGACCCCATGGACTGTAACCCGCCAGGCTCCTCTTTCCAGGGGATTTCACACGCAAGAATACTAGAGTGGGTTGCCATTTCCTCCTTTAGGGGATCTTCCTGACCCAGGGATCGAACCTGGTTCTCCTGCTCATCAGTCAGATTCTATACCGGGACCAAAAGAGATTGGGTCCCCGCCTCCCCAGGGATCCCGGCCTGCTAGACCCCATGCCACCTCCTTGTTCCAAAATAATTTGCGTGCCCTCACTTCCCTGAAACAGAGTCTACAGGCGGCACTGTCTATCTCCACCCGCCGGTATAAAAATAAAATTAATAGGTGGTGAGAACAGTGAGCAGGATTGTACAGGCAAACTCTGGAATATTTCTTTAAAAAAAAACAAATTTTTTTTTTGCCATGCCACACAGGATGCGGGACCCTAGTTCCCCAAACAGGGAGAGAACCTGTGCCCCCAGCGTTTTCAGTTGGGAATCTTAGCCACTGGGTCACCAGGGGAGTCCCTGGAGTGTTTCCAGTTCTGTGCCTCGATCTGGGTCTACACGAATGTAAAAAGTCATCGAGCTGGGTGGCTGCAAAGCAATGTGAATACACGAAAACCCAGCAAATTGTCAACTTTCAAGGGGTGAATTTTATGGTGTATGAATTAGATCTCAGTTAAAAAAAATCTAACATTTCTCCGAAGAAGGTATATAAATGGCCGATAAGCAGGTGAAAAGATGCTCAACATCACTGGCTAGGAGGAAAATGGAAGTCGGGCTCATAATAATATAATACCTCACCCCACAAGAGTGGCTACTGCCAGAAATAGAGACAAGAAGCAGGGCTGGCGAGGTTGGGGGAAACAAGCCCTCGTCCAAGGCTGGTAGAAACAGAAGATGGTGCAGTTACCGTGGGCAACAGGTTTCTGGCAGGTCCTCGAACAAACACAGTTAGCACATCGCCCAGCAATTCCGCTCCTAAGCATCAACCCCCCCAAGAAATGAAAATATGTGTTCACATAAAACGTAAACACACATGGGCATAGATAGCAGCGCATTTGTACTAGCCAAAACATGGAAATGACACAAACACCCACCCACATATAGATGGACAAATAAATGTGGTCCCTCCACACACGGGAGCATCACTCAGCCCTGAAAAGCGGTGAAGCCCTGACACTCGCTGCCACATGGACAGACCCTGAGGACACGATGCTCAGTGAGAGACGCAGACACAGAAGGACACACAGGGTGTGATTCCACTGACAGGAAACATCCAGAACAGGAAGATCCACAGACACAGAGAGTGGGTTCCTGTTGTCAGGGGCTGGGGAGCACAGAATGGGGAGTGACTGCTAATGGAGACAGGATGTCTTTTGGCAGTTGAAGAATATTTTGGGATGTGAACACTTTAGTGAATTTTACAATACGTGAATTATACATCATCAAGCTGAGCACTCATTGCACCTATATCCAGTGGACATATTTTATACCTTTGTGCCCCTTACTGTATATTTGTTGTTCAGTCACTCAGTTGTGCCTGACTCTTTGTGACACCCTGGACTATAGGCCACCAGGTGTCTCTGTCCAGGGGATTTCCCAAGCAAGAATACTGGAGTGGATTGCCCTTTCCTTCTCTAGGGGATCTTCCCAACCCAGGAATCAAACCGGCATCTCCTGCATTGACAGGCGGATTCTTTACCACTGAGCCACCAGGGAAGCCTATATATATATATAATGCCTCACTTTAAACATGTTAAATAGGATTTTCCTGATGTCTCAGTGGTAAAGAATCTGCTTGCCAATGCAGGAGAAATAGGTTCGATCCCTGATCTGGGAGCAACTAAGCCCATGTGCCACAGCTATGAGCCTGTGTTCTAGAGCCTGAGCGCTGCGACTGCTGAGCCCACAAGCCACAACTACTGAAGCCTGTGTGTCCGGAGCCCGTGCTCTGCAACAAGAGAAGCCACCATAAGAAGCCTGCGTACCTCAACTAGAGAGCAGCCCCTGCTTGCCCCAACTAGAGAAAGCCCACACAGCAACAAAGGCAAAACCAAAAATAATAAATAATTTAAAAAAAATGTTAAATACATTGGGACTTCCCTGGTGGTCCAGTGGTTAAGACTCTGTGCTTATAATCCTGGAGATGTGGGTTCAACCTCTAGCTGGGGAGCTAAGACCCCACATGTCTCATGGCCAAAAAAGAACCCCAAAACATAAAATAGAACCAATATTGTAACAAAATTCCAACAAAGACTTTAAGGGCTTCCCCTGGTGGCTCAGTGATAACAAATCTGCCTGCCAATGCAGGAGACATGGGTTTGATCCCTGGTGTGGGAAGACCCCACATGCCGCGAAACAACTAAGCCTGTGAGCCATGACCATCGAGCCTGTGCTCTGGAGCCCGGGGACTGCAATTACTGAAGCCCGAGCACCCCAGGGCCCGTCCTCTGCAACAGGGGAAGTCACTGCAATAAGCCCGAGCACTAGAGCAACTAGAGAAAAGCCCACACAGCAACGAAGACCCAGCACAGCCAAAAATAAACAAAATTATGAAATAAATAAATGAAAATGGTCCACATAAGAAAACAGAAATCTTCAAAAAAGAAAACCTTAGGCCCACTGCACTCAAGGACGGAGTGAATCTGTCAGAGGTTTGCCCCTTAATGGAGCATTGCAGTGAACATGTAGATACAAACTTCTATCACAGAAAGAACTCCAAAGGTACCATCTGTTTGTAGGACATATTGCAGGTTAACCTTAAAAATGCATTCCAGTATACATCAGGTGCAGACAAATACTGTTTGACTCCATTATGCCTAGAATAGTCAAATTCATAGAAAGTACATTGGTCGATGCCAGGGGCCATGGGGTAGGGAGGTGGGGAGCAGAATGGGGATTTAGTGTTTAATGGGGACTGAGTTTCAGTTTAGGAAAGTGAAAGATTCAGGCGACAGATGGTGGTGACGGTTGCACAACAACGTGAATGTACTTAGTACCACTGAAATGTACAAGTTAATCGTGGTTAAAATAGTATGATTTATATTATGTGACTTGTACCATAATACAAAAACATAACAAACAAACAGACAGACCAAAACTCCATCTTCTCCTGATTTGCCCAGGAGTTGCATTTCAGGTATGTTCATTGAAAATTAAAACTCCTGGTCATTGGTTTACATTTCTGGCAGGACATTAGGAAGTTGTGGGCTTAGGGGCTGCCCTGAGCATAGCTGGATGCCTAGTGTCCCTGGCCCCTGCCCCTGAAATGCAAGCACATCCTGTTATTATCACAAGTAGGGGAAAAAGCCCTCCAAATTTCCAGAACAGCCGCCTAAGAGGGGTCACCCCTGCTGGGAGGAGGAGACAGCAGGAACCAATGAATGTGGAATAAACAGGATAATTTCAGAGACAGTTAAGGCCTGGGTGGGGGGCAGGGACAGCAGGTGACCTAGACCAGCGGTCAGGAAGTCTTCCTGGAGGGGGAGCCCCTGTAGCTGGGACTGGAAGGGCGGGGCCTGAGGCAAAATGAGGCAGGCAGAGGGGACAGCAGGTACAAAGGCCCTGGGGCACGGCAGTGCAGAGAGGAGACCGGAGACTGGTCCCCAGCCTCCTAGGAGCCCACCATCCAAGTCTCCCACAGCTCTAAGGTCTCCCCACCAAGACCCCAGACCAGCCCCAGCCTCCGAGGGCAGCTTTCCCATCTGTGAAATGTGTGTCCAGTTGCTGAATCTCTGACTCTGTCAACTCCTATACTCCATGTTCTTCCCAGAACCCTGGCCTCCATCCCTACCTCAGACTTTTGCCCTCTGCCAACCCCACTTTGTCTCTTCGGCTCTGACCTTTGTCCCTGTCCCCATTTTGGACAGTCCCCTAAACTGACCAGACATTGACCTGGAGCCTCAGGTTGCTCTAGACATGACAGCATCCTTTCCTTGCCCAGGCAGAGGCGGGGAGGCAGGACTCTATGTGAGCCCTCCCAGAGGGGAAGGGCACTCGGCCCGGCAGATCTGTTCCTCCCAATCCTTTCAGTCCCCAAACTCTGGGGGAGGGCCAACCCCCACCTCTGCCCCATCAGTGACCTTCCCCACTTCATCTCCTCTCTCACTGTCCCTGCAACATGCTAGGCATGGTCCAGCCTCGGGGTCTCCACCAGGTGGGGGTGGCCTCTCCACCCACACATTCCCGGTGCTGGATGCTGGGCGTGGGGGTGATGGGGATTCCACCCGACTCCCAGGGGCCCCACTCCTCCCCAGGTGCACTGGGAACGCTACATCTCATTCCATTCACCACCTGCTGGAAAGTTCTTAGCCATCAGCTCTCCGGGGGGTTGGGGGGGGGGGGATGTAGGCATGTAGGTACATACGTATGTTTTCCATAAACTTTACTGACATAAAGGATGTGCACCGTGCAACTTAAGAAAATAGCAAACCTCATTGTAAATTTCACGCAGCCAATCGATGCTTGATAAATGTTCTCAGTGAGTTTTGCCTAACTGGTGGTGGTGGTGGTGGTGGTGTTTAGTCACTAAGTCGTGTCTGTTTTGTGACTCCATGGACTATATACAGCCCATCAGGCTCCTCTGTCCGTGAGATTACCCAGGCAAGAATACTGGAGTGGGTTGCCGTTTCCTCCTCCAGGGTATCTTCTTGACCCAGGGATCGAACCCATATCTCCTGCATTGGCAGACGGGTCCTTTACCGCTGAGCCACCAGGGAAGCCCAGTTGTAAAACTGGTACCAAAAGCCAATCTATGGTTGCTATGGATAAATGAAAGCAGTTCTGACATGGAT